TTTTTTTTTCAATTTTTGAGAGTAATATCTTCAACTAGATACGAATTGTAGTAATTTGACGTATTGTTGAAAAAAGTAGGTCAAGTTAGAGCAGAGAAAATAAATGATAGTCACAAAAAAATATCTTCTCGGCTTTGCATCGAAGCGAAAACTTAAAATATAGTAAAATAATTTTAATACGAATAAGAAATTTCTTCTTGCAAGGGGCGACTAAAGTGATGGGATCCTTGATCTTTATTGAAGTTATTGAATCTAAATGTGATAAAAATCAAACGAGTTAAAATTTATACTAACTTAAAAAGAATTAAGAAAAAATGCAAAAAATTCATTGCCATATGCGGGTTGGAACCTCGTACCCCAAGCGTGTAAAACATAAATTTTACCAACTCGGCAACCGTACGTTGCTTCCGGCGGTTGAAAAATTGGCTATTTAAGCTAGTTCAAATTTCAAAGTTATTTTTCTCGACTTAAAAGAAACAAACATATTTAAATAAGTTTAACTATCTATACTATATCAATTTTAATTTATATAATATTTATGAAAATCTGTACTCCCCTTGTCAGGTATTTTAAAATAAAATAAAATACAAAACCCAGAATTTTAACACAAAAATAGCATATTTTTGCATACGGTAGTCATTTTTACCATGAAGACAAATCCAGAGGTCAAATTTTTTTTTTTCACATTAAAGTATATTACATAAGCTTTAATTTAAGATATATTTAAAAGTGTCAGTATTTCCGGAATACTTTCAAAAATTAAATTGAAAATATCGTAGTAACAATACGCATGTTTAAAGTTTTGACCCCCCTTGTTAAAGGGGTATGATCCGATTTACAAAAAAAGCGTGCCAGATGAAAGGGGTATATCAATATTTATTATAAAAAAATAATAATATAGATCCATACATTTTTCCAAAAGTTATATAAAATATAAATTAAATAATATAACATATAAAATCGAGATTTTTTTCACGGAAATCGTACGTTTTTCTTTAACTTTGATGTCCGTTTTCACCACGAAGACAAGTCCAGAGGTCAAATTTTTTTTTTTCAAATTAAAGTATATTACATAAGCTTTAATTTAAGATATATATAAAAGTGTCAGTCTTTCCGGAACATTTTCAAAAGTTAAGTTGAAAAAGTTCTACTTTCTATACGCATTTTAAAAGGTTTGCACCCCCCCTGTATAAAGGGAAATGGTCCGATTTTAAAAAAAAGTATGTCGAATGAAAGAAGTATATATAAAGTATTTATCATTAAAGAATAAAGTTGATTCATGCATTTTTTAAAAAGTTATAGCAACATAATGTTAAAAAATGTAAAATATAATATCAAGAATTTTTTCACAAAAATAGCATATTTTTGCATACGGTAGTCATTTTCACCATGAAGACAAGTCCAGAGGTCAAATTTTTTTTTTTCAAATTAAAGTATATTACATTAGCTTTAATTTAAGGTATATATAAAATTGTCAGTCTTTCCGGAACATTTTCAAAAGTTAAGTTGAAAAAGTTAATTTTTTGTAAAAAAGTTACCATTTTGAAACCCCATCCTTTGGGCTGTTAAAGGGTCAAATGTTCACAAAAATATATAAAATGATAGGTAATTATCTAAGGTATCTATAAAAAAAAAAATTATATTGATTCGGTCATTTTTAAAAAAGTTATGGCAATTTTAAGTAAAAAAAATTGAAAAAATATCGAAAATTAGCGATTTTTAAATTTGTAATTTTTTGGGGGATTTCCCCCGTTTACGGGGAACGAGGGAATTTTTTTCAATTTTTGAGGGTAATGTCTTCGACTAGATACGATTTGTGATCTTTTGACATATTGTTCATCAAAATCGGTCCAGCGAGAGCTGAGATTGAGCGTTCACAGACACAAAAAAAAAAATAAAAAAAAAAAAAAAAAAATAAAAAAACACATCATAGTAAAATTAATACCTTCTCAGCTTCGCATCGAAGCTAAAAATTGGTGGATTATTCCAAAAGCAACATGATCTCCTATTTCCTTATTTAAATTCTTATTACAAGATTAATGATTTACAAGTGTAATTTATGTATAAATATTTATTATAGAAATTATAGCAATTATATATAGTATGAAATTGATATTTAATAACTTAATGTTGTAATTTTTATGGAGAAATTATAATAATTATAAAGTAGCTATTACTTTTATTAGTTTTGAACTCTCTTGTATAAAGGCAAATGATTAAAATCACTATAAAAAAAAACGCTTCGATGCAAATCTTTAGATAGTGTTTAATTTTAAAAAATTGGTGGATTATTCCAAAAGCTACATGATCTGCTATTTCCTTATTAATATCCTAATTAAGATAAAGTATGTCGAATGAAAAAGGGATTATTAAAAAATAGTATTTCCCATAAAAAAATTATATTGATCAATACACTTTTCAATAAGTTATAGCATTATAAAGTTAAAAATGTAAAAAATAAAATTGAGAATTTTCACACAATAATAGAATTTGGTAGCCATTTTCACCGTGAAGACAAAATAAAGTCCAAAATTTTTTTTTTACATAATAAAGTAGATTACATTAGCTTTAATTTAATATATATATATATAAAAGTGTCAGACTTTCCGGAACACTTTGAAAAGGTAAGTTGAAAAAGTTAATTTTTTGTAAAAAAGTTGTCATTTTAAATCCCCCCGTGGGCAGGTAAAGAGACAAATTTATAAAAAAATATATCAAATGACAAGTAAGAACATTATGTATATATTAAAAAAAAAACTATATTGATATGTTCATTATTAAAAAAGTTATGGCAGTTTTTAGTAAAAAAAATTGAAAAAATTAGCCATTTTTAAATTTGTAATTTTTTTGTAGGTTTCCCCCATGTAGGGGGAACGAGGGAAATTTTTTCAATTTTTGGTTATCGTACCCGTACACACGTGCGTGTCATCAATATTATATATATATAAACAAATTTTTATTTTGACTGACCATTATCATCCGCGTGCATACGGCTTACGTATATATTCCTACCGCCGTTTATACCTCAGGTTTAACGTTAGTCTGACCCGTCCGCCCACAAAACACGACTATACCTAATGCATGATACGTTTACGTACTTAAGTCGCTTTACATGTATATATATATATTCTAATTACTATTAAAAATATATATTAACACAGTTTATTCTTATTTAGAGATATAGAACTCATTCATTCCGATTACAAAGGATGAATCCAGTATCGTCATTTTTCGTCACTACCTCCATGTTCCGGGAGTGGGTAATTTACGCGCCTGCTGCTTTCCTTGGATGTGGTAGCCGTTTCTCAGACTCCCTCCCCAGAATCGAACCCTGATTTCCCGTTACCCGTAACAACCATGATATTGATAGTAACTACTATCATAACATGAAACTAAAAAGTAAAAAATAAATATAGTTTAAAAAACTAAAAAAACACGCTTTTAAAGTACATCGAACTAAAAAGTTAAAAATAATTTTTAAAATAATTATGAACAAAAAAGACTAGTATTATTGTGATAAAAGCATGGGTGCTTTGTGCCATATCTTTCGTATATTGAGCGCCCAACGCTTTTATCACAATAATACTAGTATTTTTTGTTCATAATTATTTTAAAAATTATTTTGAACTTTTTAGTTCGATGTGCTTTAAAAGCGTGTTTTTTTAGTTTTTTAAATTATATTTATTTAACTTTAAGACGGTCCTGTAACAATTAGTTGCAAAAAGAGAATATAAACAATAATATGAATCATATAATAAGACCTCAAACCTTTGATTGAAAAAAAAATTAAATTAATAGTTTTTATATCTATTACTACAAATTAATATGAACTATGAAAGCCTAATATTTCTACTGTCATAATAGAATTATAAATTCCTGATTATACACATAATCAGGAATTTGGAATTCTTTTTTACGTTAAATATTTTTAATCTATTATGCTCGTGTGTCTTTTGAAACATATACTTACAGACCTAATACTTAATCACTAATTTCATCTCAAATATTAACTTTTAGATTTTTTCTTATTCAAGTAGCAATTAATTTTTTATTTATAAATAGTTATTTAACTTTTTATATTTATCTCTTGTTCTTTAACAATAAGTATCCAACTTATTATTTTTAAATGAGATAATAACAACTTTTGGTGCATTATTTCGGAAATAATTAACAATTTTACAAATTAGCAGGCGTGGCGTGATCGAGAAATGTCTAATGATAAAATAATATAACACATTAATGGCGTATTAGAGGTTACATCATTCCCGAGCAGTATTAAATAATTAATTTTAAATTGAATTATCATATATAGTTCCCAAAAGAAAAAATATATATATTATACAAGTAGAGAATAAAATATATACTAGATTACTAACTTAATTCATTATACAAATTGTAAAAAAGCTGAGGTCAATGGGAGACTATCCCATTAATTACCTCCTATTTGAAAACCACTGATCCATACTCTGATACATAATATGTATCATAGTAATGATGTCTATTAAATCATTTTATGATTCTCGTTAATTTCTGGTACTAAATTTTAAAAATTCGTATGAAAGAATGAACCACTACATCACAAGACAACTAATGATGTTTTTATGTAACATGACTCAAAAATTTTCATTCTTCTATAATTAAAAGTCAAGCTTATCAACTTTTACATGAATTAGTACATTATATCTGTAAATAGAATTAAAAAAACAAAACAATGATTGGCTCATGAAACATTTAATTAACAGGAATTTCTACATACTGTTAAAAATACATTCATTCACACTATGAATCCACAATAAATTATAGGTCTAATCATTACACATTTATGTAAAAAAGCTAAAATAAATTAGACCTATACATAATATCTTAAATTTTATTTATTATGTATATATATACATATGTATACACATAGATATAAATACGTATATAATTATTCATATATATATATATATATTTATATTAGAATACGTCAAATAAAGTTTTCATTAATAAAAAACCTAAAATTAGCAATTCAAAACTTGTTTAATGCAATGTTTTAGAGTACGTTTATCAATAAAAAAAACCTTTACATGTATTGGTTAGAAATAAGGAATCTCTACTGAAAATAAATGTCATATATTTACAAAAAAAAATTAAAAATTGAAAAGTTTATCAAAGCACAAACAACTGATACTGGCAATAAAACAACAATTAGTTACAATTACTCATTGAGTTTAAAAAAAGACAATTTAAAACAACAGACGTATATGAGGATCTAGATTTTTACTAATTATATAGATTGAATGGTGTATAATATTGTGATTTTTATCATTATTTATTAGTAATGAAGTAACTGTGTTGGCTTTTACATGAAACCATCTCCACCAGGTCCTCCAGGCTTTTGAGCTTGAACACTAAAAATTAAAACAAATGTTAAAACCTATTCAATTCCTTATTTATTATTGGTTCTAACAAAAATATTTAAATACATAATTAAAAATTAACTTTAAGATTATCACAAATAAATTACATCAAAATATGAAATTACAAAAAATTAATGATGCACGAAATAAACAGGGAAAGAAACTCAAGATTTTAATTTGAAAAAATTATATTTTAAGTATTATTTTTATTTAGAATTTAATATTAAAAATTTATGAAGAACAATGTAATGCACAAAAATTTAAATTAAAAAAAAAGGTGTATTATTCCTTTAACCATTTTTGTTTACACTAAAGGTATAATTAAATCTATTAATAATTTTAAACATCAACAAGAATATTCTATATGAATTAATAAATTTATTATTTAGATTGTTTAAATTGTAGAATTGATCCTAAAATTTGTAAGTTTGACTCTTATGATCAAATATAATGTATTTTATTGATGTATAAGTCAGCTCTTAGTCACTCTTGCAATAATAGCCTTAATTACACGAGTTGTCAAAAAAATAAATATTGTACATTTTATGTCCACCATAGTGTATAATTGTTGATATAGATATTAAAGTTATAAATATTTTGATGACTTAAAATTTATTTAAAATAAAATTTTGATTATTTAAATATTAATAAAAAAATTTACAGATAAACTGCTGAAAATTTTTCATTTTTTACCACTATTATATAATTAAACATAATTTTAATACACTATTTAGTAATTTTAATATGAAAGCGCAGTAAAATACAAATAATTCTTGAAATATATAAATCAAAGCAGTTATAGCGTACACATGCTGTTAGTCGTTACTACCATAAGAAGACTAGAGACTTCTTGTTAGGAAGATTTACATTAAAACAACAAAATCACTAGTCTTCCATAAGGAAGATAACGTATAATCTTGTAGCTGAATCCCGTAAGTTAGCTGCTATTGCTTCTAATGTTAGTATCAATATTCGTGTTTATATTAATTCTATAGTAAATAATCACACTTACCATTGTTGTAAAAGATACTGTGCCATTTGTATTTGACTGTCTGTGCCATTAATAGTGATTATTCGTTCATCTGAGCCTTCAGTTGGTTCGCCAATTGTGATTCCGGCTCCTGAATCTTGGCGAATTCGGCGTATTCTAGCGCCTGCCTTGCCGATTATTGCGCCCGCGAGCTTTAAATAAAAAAATATATATTAAGTGATGATTTGTTAAAGATCAATAATAAACAAAAGTATTTATAAATTCAAATTTCAATATTTTAAATAAACATCCATTATTACTATGACAAAATTATAATCCCTAATAGTTATAAACAGCTTTTACTATATTTTATTATTATTAACATCAGATTTATTATATCTAAAATTTTAATAAATTCATTATTCAAAAATTATATAGAAATAATAACTATTCATAAAAATATTATATTAGGGTCTTATTTTCTTATTAAAAACATCCCGATAATAATGTCTGTATAATTAAGACTTTACATAACTTACTAAATGCAAAAAAAAACTATTTTTGAAAAGTTATAATAAAAATTAACTTACTTTTTAGATATTTTATACTTTTTTTTATAAAATATTTGTATTCATTATTTTGATATATATGTATCGTTTAATATTTGAAATACAATTTTACATAGATATAGGAAACTGTGTTAGTCACTCTATCAGTAAAATATCTATTGCAACTTTTATTCAATATAAATATTTAATTTTTAAAAAAAATTATTTAAATTAAGATTTATAATGTACAGTATTAAAAGCTCTATATTTTATGTAACATTTTAAGAATTTTTAAATTAAAAAAAAAAAAGTTAATTTCATGGTTATTATACATATTCTAAAACAAACTTTCAGGTAATTTTAAGACCAAAGTTTTTTTTTTACTAAACAGTATAATTGGAAATTTATTTCTATAAATTTCATTAAGTTAAAACCACTTCAAAAAATTACACAAAAAACTATGCCCCATTTAAATTATTATAGTAGTTAGAAAATTAGAAGTATAGTAGGAGCACACAAGGAATCGCGTACCGAAAAACAATGGAAGCAACAGTTTTTGTCGCCAAATTGGAACTACTAAGACAAACGTACCGAAGCATCAATCAACTATACACTTTTGAAACTTTTTAAGTTCTTTAATTATTTGAAGATATTAATAGTAAGTAAAAATAAAAATAATAATATATCATATTAATCATTTTTATTTGAACATTTTATCATTCTAATTTATTTTATCTAATCTATTTTATCACACCCAATATTCATTAAAAATCTCAGTCATAAAATATAATTCCAAATTTTAAATTTACAAAACTATTATAATTATAAAGTGATTTAAATTTATATTTTGCTTTTCGGTACGCAAGCCTTGTGTATAACTCCTAAACGCAAAAACTGTCACTTACATCTTTTGGAATTGTGACTTGTGTTGAGCCATTAAAAGCTGCAGGTTTTCCACCTCCACCACCCATAGCTGGAGGAGGCATACTAAAATCATTCATGGGACCATCATCAAAACCACCTTATAAAATATTAAATATATTAAAACAAAAATCATTTTTAAATTAAATATTATTAATAAATAAAAATGGAATGCAACAAGAAACCTAAGACATTTCTATAAAATCATACATTATTTATCAGAATAAATATTGATTTATATTTATATTAACAAAATGTCATCAAAAACTAATCATCAAAGTTTAAATATATTTTTAACATCTTACCACCATAACCACCGCCACCACCAAAGTTACCAGACCCATTGTTGCCATATCCACCTGGTCCACCACCATATCCTCCAGCATTTCCACCATAGTTACCACCTCCATGATTGCCAAAACCACCACCATATCCTCCTCCTCCACGTCCACCGCCCCTAAAAAAAAAGATTTTAATGGTACATATAAATATATAACTAACTAAATATATAACTAACATTCCGCGGTTATTCATAGGACCGCCTCCTCCTTGGAATCTACCCGGTCCAGGTGGTCCACGATTCATATTTCCACCTCTCATACCACCACCAGCTGGATTACCATAACCACCATATTCATCAGAATAATATTCATCAAAATTATTAGGATCATAAGGATCTTCTGCTCCTTTTACTGGTGCCTGCAGTAATAAATTAACAATATATAATAAATATTCTATTCAGTTATGTATCCAACTTACAGTTTTTAAAAGATCCAATACTTCTCGAACACAATCTGAACATGTATTAGGCTTTCCAGTAATTTGCACGACACGATCTGTACTCATTGGACAACAACTAGTATAAATCTTAATACGAGATCCAGTTTTCTAATAATAATAAAATAAAAGAATGAATATTGATACTGCAATATAATATTGTAACTTACTTCTCTAAGCTCTTTAACTTTCAAACCACCTTTTCCTATAATACATCCAGCCTGACTTTGGTGCACTAACATCCTGACATCAACATCAGTTTCTCCTTGATCATTATTTCCTTGACCACCACCACCTCCACCAGGTCCACCACGTTTAAAGCGCTATAGAAAATAAATACATTTTAAACATAAAATAAATATAAATAAAAATTAAACACTTACAGATCCACCATCTTCTAAATTGCACATTACTTCACCCAAAACTTTAAGTACATTTTCATTACTTGATATGATAGTTAAAATTCTATTAAATTATTAATATAAAAATAATAAATATATAATTATATGTTGACACAATAAATAAATAAAAAGCAAATTTTCCAAGAATAGACATTATTAAATTTTATATTCAGACTTTTTTCTCAATATTTACATTTTTTTAACAATAACATTAAAATTAGTTTTTTCATTTGAATAATAATTAAATTATTATTTAATAGAATATTTTATTCAGCCCATTCTTAGCAAATTTTGAAATATTTAAGTGTTAAGTATTACTTCCATTTAATTTTAAGTTATAGGACAGGAAAAATGGAAATCAATATAGTCTAAAATTACATCATATTTTAACAGTATTTAAACTTTGTATTTAAATATCAATTGGATTTAAACTAAGAAAAAAATTAGAAACATCCTATAGGGACGTTGGATAAAATAAATAAATAAAATTATTCATAAATGAACTGTAAGCCCCTAAGATCAAATTCACAATAAGTGATTTTTTTTTAAACATAAATTATGAGGCTTTCAGTTCATTGAAAAAGAACAATATGGTTATTATAAATACACATTTTGAATCTACTATAGAAAACATAAGTAATTCATAAAAGAATATTTAAATATATGAGAGATTGATGATGGATGATTTACCGTTCAGGACCCGGGCAATCTGGGACAGTGACTGTGGCATTGTACTGTTAGATGGACAGCATCAGGTATCCATATTTGTTCGCAGGTTGTATTCGTCGATGTGGTTCAGGGCATATTCATGGTATATGCAGAGGGGCCCAGGGTATCACGGGACATGTGATTTAATCACATCGAGGGACATGGGCATATGGGCATAGAACACATAATAAATTTTCAAGATCAGTGCTGTTTTTAGTTAAGTTACAAAGCATCTATATATTAATATTAGACATTTCCCAGTTCATTTTTAAAAATATTTTCTGGGAGGGAAATTTTTAAATAGGCCTACTTACCTTCACAAATTTATATAAATTCTAAACAATATTTACAAATGGTATACAATGCTGGGAAATAACGGTACAATTATTAGTTATATAAATGGGTTAATACAAAAACAAAACAAGAATAAAATAAGTAAATAAAATAATTTTTTTTTTAAACAAAATTATAGTAGGCCTATTTTTCCCTGATTTTTATAACTTTATAATACAAATAGTGGCACACTGAATAAATAGTTTAATCTAACTTTTAAATTATTATTATAAAACAAAAATATTTAAAGATTATCAAAAAATATTACTTAAATACCACTTATTAAAGTAATATTTACTTTAATACTTTTCATATTTTTAACCTTTATTTAGCTAAGGAAAATTGTTTCTAATAGATTCATTCGATTGACAATCTAAACATTGTGAAATGAATTTTCAATGCACCACTAACATATATTTACACATCTAGTCACAAAAATTCAATAAAAGCTTACATCAGTCCTGAGTCTTGATATATTGAATCCACCTTTACCAATAATTGATCCAGCAACCTAAAATTATACAATAATATCACAATTATTTTGAAATATAAGTCAATATAAAATACTCAGTTTTCAATAAATCAACATATTACAGACATATTTGCCAATTTAAATGAGTTTATCATTAAAAATAATAAGTTTGTATTGCTCTAAAAAATGAAATATTAAGAGAATATACTTGATTGCTGGTACATTTTTATAATATATTAAGTTAATAAATTAACCTTGCTTGGAATAAGAACTCTTAATTCTATATCATCAGGTCCCATTTTGGGTCTTTTGAATGGAGCATTAGAATGTCCATCATTAAATCTCTTCATATCTAAAAATGAATATTTTCATTAATTTCTTTGATATTATATATTAATGTTAAAATAAGTAAACTATTTATTTATTTCCAGATCTTTAGTCTATGAGTTTTAAAAATAAATTAGAATTCATTTTTAATTAATAAAAATAAAAATGGTAGAATAGAGTTAGAATCATCAAGGCTAAAACAAACAAGTTTTGAAATGAACAATTGCAATGTAAAAACTATACGACACTTATTTTATTATCAAAAATTATTATTTTATTATCATAATAAAATCACAAAAATTGTTTACTCACTAAATAAATAAAAAAAAAAAATAATATTAATAAATGAACTAATTTTAATTTTTTTTCTGAAAGTTCTTGAGTTCCACAATTAAGAACTGAAGAAACATGTCTCAAAACTAAACTTTAAAATATAATATTTAATAAAATTAAATGTGATGTATAATATGGGCACACATTGACAGTCCAAGATTAACAGTAAGAGCAAATCTCTGACTCCAAAAATACTAGTAGCCAATCTTAAATAAAGTATATCTTTTTATTTGTTAATAATTTTATCATTTTGGTAAAAATTAACTATAATTTATTCGATGAAAAACTCTAGATAGTCATCACTCTAATCACACATGTTTCAATCTATCTGGGCTGGGTTACTAATAGTCATAAAATAACAATAAAAAAATTATTTAATTATAACGCTATTTTGACTATCTTAAGTATAGTCTACCCTTTTTAGAACGAGCTTTGTAAAACCACCAAAAGAAAAATAATACAAAACAAATCGATATACTCATATCTTATGAAATGTTAAATACTTTTTAAAATTTTTGAAACTTATTAAATTGCAATTTTATATTTCCTGTGTCAAGTTTTCGACATATAAAATAATAACAAACACCCTCATAAGTCATTTTTTTTTTTTTGTTTACGTTTAACGTTTTTTCTAAATGCTAATTTTTGTTCCAGAGATATCGGTAAAATACACAAAGCCCATCAAACAGAATTTAAACTCGGTACCTACGGATAGAGGTATAACGCATTGCCGAATTTGTTAGGTCGCCTATTAAATAATGTATCAAATCCAATGAACACGAAAAAAAAAAAAAAAAGTTAAGACTGAAGAATGTAGTGGCTCGACGTATTTAAGGTTTGTAATAAATCCCTCCACAACAATTTTCTTCATGCAATAATCAGTGGTCAATTATCATAAACCTGCAGACAACATATAGTTGATGGATTGACTCAAGTATCAAGTGGTCAGTGACAATCGTTCGTCAATAAACTACGATAATTTTAATTAATGTTTCATTTTTTTACTACAGCTTTACAGTTGCATAACAGTAAAAAATTAACTGTTATTAAAAATTTAATGGAGTTAAAAAATTATTCGTAGTTTACTAAATAATATCCAGAATTACAACATAGTTTAATCAATACGTTTTTCTAAATAATAATTTGCTAATTGCATGATTTATTATTTAAATAATAAATACAAATGACAATAACTATACAACAACAGCATCATAACTTTAAAATTAATAATGGACTAAGTTAATTATATCAAACAAAATATCTTCTAATTGAAAATTTAACTTTCAAAAAAATTTCATATTTTAAATCCCAAAACATTGAGATTATGAGGACAGATATCACTTGTTTTTGAAAAATATAAATGTAATTTATACTTTAATATTTCAGCTAAATATCAACTAAAATATCGTCAATTACTGATTTGATTCTCAAATTTTCCTCGTTAACTAAAAAATATTTCCTAAAGTAATAAAGTTGATAAAAATTACTAATTACTTATGGTATTATTATTTTTTTAAAACTTACTATAGAAACAAACAACTAAAAACTATTAATTAATTAAAAATTCTATCCACAACAAATGGTTTTTAATGAAATTAATACTAGCTTATTCCATAAAATGAATTCATTGAAAAAATATATATGTAGAATCATTCTATATTTTTAATGACAATAATTAGTTGTTTAAGCAAACTATGCTTAACATAACTATCAAATATTAAGCGTTTACCGCATGATTAAAACTAGGGTTGACTCATTCACCTCTAGTTCACTTGCATACATGACACCGGTAGTAGACAGCTTACTGGCGCCAAACTCCGACCCCGTTTACCCTGAGAGGGGATACTTCCACCATTCTATATTGATCCAGTAAAAACCAATGTCGAGCTATCACCCTAAGTATATGCCTCATACAAGTATACAATTAATTGATTAGAAAAATGACAAAAGTCCATCAACATTATTAATCTTAAATTTTCCCATAATAATAAAATAAAATGGCATTTCTATGGCCACGATTATGAACGAAATATAATATAATGTTTCGTTAAATTACCGTTCTATATATAGGTAAGAATATATATTAAGTAAGAATATTCGATTTAATAAAGCATCAGCTATATTAAGATTTTAAATAAATATTTTGCCAATTCAAAATCAAATTTTAAGAATATTGACAGATGAAAATCATATATAAGATATCAACTGTATTTGGCGCCTTTCAGAAAAAACCATTTCTCAATGCTTCAATAATCAAATAAATCAACTCACAATAAATTAGATTCAATTAAAATTTACTAAAATTTAGAATTTAGAATTTCCATAAAAAAAAATATTAGAAAAATTACAATTAAGATAATAGTTCATAAAAATTTTTTTATAACAAACCTATTGCATTTTTGCTTTTTTATTAAGCATTATTTTTACTACAATCAATTTTTTTATTACTAATTAATTTTTTAACTGGAAACACCCACTAAGTTTTAAATTTGACATAAATGACTTTTCAAGTAACACTACATAAAAAAAAACGAAGATAAATATGAGAAATGATATCAATATTAGAACCTACCAATAATTTTTTCAATAAATCGTAAACAAAAAAACAATTGAAATTTAATACAAAGAAAACTAATTTCTCAAACACGCATGTTTTAACATACACCTGTTAAAACAAACAAACATTGTATTCAACATAAAGAACGTAAAATTAAATTAAACTTGGGCAATTTTTACATATTTTAAATAAAAACGAATATATATATATATAAAACTTACCCATGTTGTTTATCGACGAGAAGTTTTTAAGAGTTGAAAGTTGACTGTTAGACAGTCTTACTTTAACTGATGAAAAAATGAACTCAATGTGCCGGGTAGACAAAAAACCATTTCGTGTTTACACAACAGTAACTATGGTAACAAGAATTGACCACTAACGGTCAGTTTAAGTATTCGGATTCTTTAAAATAGAAAAAAAGGACTTGCTTTTTTAACTTTCCATAAATAATAATAAAAAAAAAAAATGTTTATAATGAAAAATGATTATTTTTCTTGATAAAGTAAAAATAATTTTATAAGGTATTTAACAAAATAGTATCCTGCATAAAACAGATTTCACAGTATTCAATAATAATTCCTTGTTTTATTATTATTATTATTTGAGTATATATATTTTTAATTTGTTGATTTTTTTTTTGATTCAACCAAATAAATATCTTCTTCTTCCTCGCTTTAATCCCAACTACTTGGAATTCAACCAAATAAATATAATATCCAAAATAATTGGATCTAATATATTTATTTCGTCATCGTACACAATAAAGTAGTGTGTGCGAAATTTAGAATCTTGTTTTAATTAATTAAATTTAAATAAAGTTTTTACGTTTGGCAGATTTTTAGTCTGATAGATTCAATTTAAGTATTACAATAACTTTATATATAAGTAGACGAAAATAAAAAAAATATTGTAATCTTTCGAACAACTTGATAATTAAAACAAAATTTAGATATATATATATACTTTCTCCTCTAACTTTTTCTAAACTATTTTGCATACACCAAAATTTAACAAAAATTAAAAGTGATATTTAGTCCTTTTAATTTTAGCCTAAATAATTTAGAAATTCATAGTAGGACATTGACTTTATTTTGGTCAAACGACTTTTTTAAATGATTCTTAAACTAATGAAAATTAATTCGTATTCCTGTAATTACATATTAGGATCAAATATCAGAATGAATATACAGTGTAAAATATACATATACATATATATATATATATATATATATCAATTTTTTTATATTTTACGTGTTACACAATAAGATCAACAATGAAACCTAGCAAGGATAGAGATTAGGACCGGGTTTATAAAGGTTTCGTTTAAGCTGACTAACTCTTAGTACTAATATTACATACAATTATAGCTCGATAGAGAAACGCAACGTTCATTTTTTTTTTTTAATCAAAATTATTGAAGACTTCTATTCTTTAATGGAATAATATATCTTGATTCAAAAAAAAAAAATAATAAAATAATTTTATTAAACACAGACATAAGTCATTTACTCATCATGCTAATAAATGAAAGCTGCATGGTATTATTTGCTACTCATATGGTACTAACAGCATAAAAAGGGTAGACAAATAGTATCATCCATTATGAACATCCTCTTTGTTTGATTGCATGTTCGCATGTCAACTATAGGAATGAAGTAGTACCAGTTTGTTTGTCAGCTGTTGCTATGAGCGACTCCCATATTTTATAGTGTTCAATAAAATATTAGCAATATATAAACAAGTTCTACAAATAAATATATTTATACTTTTAATTTATTAAATTTTTGATACGTTACATTTATAAATTAGTTATTCATTTATACTTAAAATATTTATATATAAAAAAAAAATTAAATTAAGACAAAATATAATTTTCTTTTTAAATCATAACGTATTAGTTTTACTACGAATGTTTATTTCTTTTAACGTGAATAATTCTTTCCTATTGAGCATTTTGTTTAACGATATATCATAAAATTACGAACTGTAACTTAATGAAGTTATCAGTACCGTGATTTTGAACAAATTTCTTTCAATATTCGTGATTAAGTGAAATATCCAAAAATTACAATTTATGCAAAGCGACAGATTCTAATTTTTTTAATTTAAACTTTATGTTGATATAATTTATTGAATATTGCACGAATTGTGGCAAAATTTTAAATGACGACCCATCTAGAGACATTTTTTCACTTTGAATTTTTTTTTTTTTGATAAGCTGGTCATTACCAAAGTAGTGTATGGGGCTTGAATATAGAAATACTTTATAACAAATTTTTAATACCTGAATTTTTGATGTTTTAAAAAACATGTATCCATAAGATTTGGTTACTTAGGTTAAAAATCTTTATTTATTTACATATGTGTACAATATGAAGAGTGTAGTCTAATATATTAAGTTACCTAGAGTACAAATAGTATTATAAATTCTTCTTGCAAGATTATTTTTCTGTATTTTACAAATGTTTTTAACTATAAAACATTTTATGTGTTATATTTATGATATATTACACACACTATGAAAAATATAACTATGTATATTTGGACAGCTTTTGTAAGAAATTGATGTAGTCAAAAATTGTAACTTTACAGAAGACCAAAAAAAGAAATATTTCTACATGATGGTAAATGGGATATTTAAATCACAAAAAGTTAATAACTGAACTACTTTTAGAAACAACAATTATACTGCTAAACACAGTCTAAGATTTATAATAAAATTAATATTACCATGAGATGAGGAGATGAACACTTTATATAAGAAAGCGAAAAAATCACTTTTTGCTACAGGATACAAATTTATTCTTAACATTTTTTTTTAATGCACAAAACTATTCATTAGTAAATTAGAAATTTATTAATAGCAAAACTGCATACATAAATAACAGTTTATCAAATGTAAAATTGTTCAAAATTTTCATGAATAATAATGAATTTTATAATCAATTTATATCATCTTTTCTCATAAAAACATAAAAATACGCCTTAATCAAGTATGTTATTGTTACCATAGCAGGATTTCAAGGGATTATGGGATACATGAAATTTATTTATTTTAAGTCTCAGTTGGTAAATTATTATAAGTTGGAGAGTATTGTTTGTTCATAAAATTTTTTAAAGAGAAATGTCATTAATTTTTGTATTACTATCACAAAAAAAATTAGAATTTTGGCTCTTATCATTATTATAAAATATTAGTGTATGAATGCAAAACTTAATGTTTAAATGGCCTCAATTGTAAAATAAGCATAAGAAAAATTGTAAAATATATGTAATTATTTACATGAAATAAACTTTGGCACTGGGTATATTGACCAGCATTGTGTACAATGCTAAATTTATCATTCCACCGTATATAACCTGTATATAAAAGGTATTCACTTATGAACCATTTAATTAATCAAAAAATAATTTTTGATTAGTATCTTTTAATTTTTTCTAGTTCAATTTTTATCTCGATTTACGCCGGGGTACAACTTATATTAGTGTATATTTATAACACATACACCATCTGTAGTGCATTCTCAATGCTTGTAACTGAATAAGTACTTATAATACAGTTATCAATCCATTAAATTTTTTTGAAAAAAAAGCTCTAAAATAACAAATATTTAGAAATTTTAATTGAATCAAAAATTATGAGAATTATTAGTTAGATTTGTTCCACTTGTATATGTAAATATAAATTTAATTTTAAGATAAATATAAGTATTTTAAAAAATAACTCAAATTTTTATCAAACACTATGAATTGTACCAATTATCAAAATAGATTCAGTGATAATTAAGTTCTTAGTAACAAAGTATTTGTTAATAATTTAGTTATAAACATGTGAAGATGTTTATATATTACAGTTAATTAATCAATACAATTTCATGAAATTATTAAATTACGTTCATTGTAGACTAGCTACAGTATGAAAATATACTATTTTTATATTTGTCTGAAATAATAATGTGGAAATTGAAAAAAATTGAGGAATTAGTATAATTTTATTGAAGTGTTTTCTTCAAAATATAGTGAATAAAATAATAATTTTAAAAATAGTTTTGACAAAATATAATTAGAGTATAATAACTAATGAAGAATTAAGACTATTTCAATATTTAAAGATTGTATACTTAGTAATTTGAATATCTAGCTAGTCAACCATAAGAAGTCTTGGTTATAATCCTATAATTTTAACATTAATAATATAGCTTATAATAGATTTTGTTTTTAATTATTGATGAATTAATGACACAAGTACACCCAGACTGGAATGAAACCTTATACTTATATACTAAGCAACATTAAAAATTCTGAAGTATTGTCCTCAAATCGTATACAATATTCATAAAAAAAAAAGTTTAGTCTTTTGGAAGTATGTTGATGTTTTCTTGTTTGACACCATGGCAACAAAAAGGTACCAATATAACAAAATTGATAGTTAGCTAATATATAATTAGAATGAACCAATATTTCATCACAAATTAATAATACAAAAAACGTGTATTAAAGGGTCAAACTTAAAAAATATACACGTACGGTACAACATCTAAATAATATAATGTAAATAACAATGAATTGACCTCACATCTATAGACTAATACAATTTTAATTACATTACTTTGTAATTAAATAATAAAATATTGTATACTTCAATTGATTTCTTCTGGTACCGGTAAACAAAATCTCGAATATATAAACAGAGCCATAAGAAAAAAGACAAAACACATAAAATTAATTCTATATTATATATTAACTCACCTCTGGTGTAATTTTTTAAAAGCCTTACTAAACAATGTTACGCACCTTCAATTAAATAATTTTAATAAATTGAAATCACTTGTGCCGGCGAATACTACAAACAATATTAATTGAACAACAGAGAAAAAAACTCCAAAATGGCGGAATCGCGTCCTTGCCCGCTTATCCATACATTATAGTAATTTACTACCAGTGTAGAAGGGAGACATTGTCAAAGAGTATTATAAATGTGTAAACATAAAAAATATTAACCGGGAAACCATAAGTTTAAATTTGTTATTTAAACAACAAAAAAATATATTGATATGATGAATATTAGTCTTAAATTTAAATAGATAAAAAATTGCAACTATTATTAAGTTAAATTTGAGTATTAAATGCTTCCTAAAATTTTAGTATATTAAATCGAAATATTTTACAAATTTCAAGCTAAAAAACTACCTTATAGGTTTTAAGCTACATCTTTACTCTTTTACTCCAAGTGCACAAAATGTCTGTATATATGTTAATGCTTTTGCAGCTTATTAAAAGTCTAATAAGGGTCTTCCCCAAAGAAAAGGTTTCTTAACCATATATACTCTGGAATGTGTGATAGTTTTTTGCAGAGTAGAGATGGCAATTCTAATTACTGAAATGGTCTCTTGCTCAACAATAAAGCTATCCATAATCAAACTTCGAATCTGAGACAGACTATCTTAGACATGCATATCAGGCACTATCACTGTTTCTGATCAAAACAATCGTCCCTATACATATTTGGTTTTAAAGAAAAAGACTTAGTTCAATTTGATAATTTCTTCATAAGGCATCTATGACTTTTGAAAATATACATAATGCTTCATTTACTATAAATACAAGGAAAAAACACGACACCGCACCACCATTAACAATAACATCATCTCTACAATAGTAATAAACAAAAAAAAAAGGTCCAAAATATGAAATCTATTACTATGCTTCATTATGAAATCCTAGCTATGCGACTGATAGCATATAAACTCCTCAAAAATTAATCATCATTATCTTTATTTTAACTAGTTTTTATCATAAAATCTAATAAAAGTCCTCTCTTAAAAATAAATCTTACATTTTTAGTATAATAAAATGACTTCCTAAAAATATTTTCTATAACTTATGCATCATATTATTGGAAAAACAAATTATAGAAATTATATTTAACATAGGCATAAATTGTAAAAAAAATACAACCCAACACTTGACAAGATTAATTATTTAACTTCTATTAAAATTTTAGTTTATGCATTTTAAATGAATGTGTCACAAACTTCAAATACATATAATTGAAAAACACCCTGTGAAGAACAACTAGATAGATAATAAATAAGATACTTAGAAAAATATTTGTTTTATTTAAATAAATAAAAAAATTTTTAATGTTAAAAATATAACTAAAAAATATCCAAATTAAGTGCTTTTTCAGTGCATGGATAAAATTTTAACATTTTTAAAACTACATAGAAAAGCAAACTAAATTTTTTTGTTAATAAATCAAAACATAATAAATTATACATAAAAAATAATAATCATTGATATAAATTGTACAATGTTGGTACCAAATAATTTAGCTTAATATTTTTTATTCATTTTACATGCTTAAAAAAATATACAATTAAATATATGAGTTACAATAGAAACATTAAGGTTGTTAAATGATACATTTTTCAAGATGTGAATTAATAAAATAAATAAATCATTTGCTAAACTATATTAGTTATAACATTCAAAAAGTATTTCTTTTATGAAATAATGCTATTTTACTTTATTTTTATTGGAACAATTAAAAAACAAAATAACAAAATTTTGGAGTAACTATTGGAAGACACTAATAAATATTTAAAAATTATTATGTTTAACTACTAAAAGTTTATTATCTCTCTTGGAATTTAATTATTATGTAACACATTCAGTGTAATGATAAATAATAATTATTATTTGATAAAATTTCAGATATCAGGTGATTGTTATATACAAACAATCATGTACATAAAAAAATTAATTTATAATGAATACTTGGCTTAATATTTTACACCAATTTTACAAAGTACAATTAAAAAACACAAGTATGTCATATCAGTCACAACACAATGTCTTACAACTTCTTAGATAAAATATTCTTATTTTTTTTAAACAGAATTATTACCTCTATAAAAGACATAGTTTTGTGAACAAATTCATTTCTACCTTTCTAAAGCAAAATACAAAATAGCCATAATTACAGTTAAATAATAAATATTAGTAAAGAAAAAATAATTAGCTTAAAAAAAAATTAATGATGATAAAAATCAATAATTAACACGTGATAAACTCTGATTAATTACTAGTGTGTTGTTTGAAGATGGCACAGAATTATATTCTTACATTATAGTACATTTTTCTGCAGTTTGACCTTCACCCTAAGAATTAATAAAAGGATAAACCTTTATTTTCAAGAATAGTTTATTTGAATAATATAAAGTATTTTATAATTCAATACTTCATAAACCAAAAATACTTTTATATTATACTACACAAAACATTAGTATTTTAAACAATTAAAAACTTAAACTCATTACTTACTGGTTGATGGAACAATTCAGCTTCATAATCACCATAATCGCTTCTAAAATGAGAAGTCTTCCCTTTTTTTAATTCATGAGTTGCAATTTCCTGAACATTTTTATATTAAGAATTAATATATTTTAACATAAAATATATTTTTGACATTTTTTTACTTGTCCTTCTGAGTTTAAAAGTAAAGTTGCCATTAAATCTCCTACAACCCATGCTTGAGTATTCATTACAATAGTTCCAGCATTAGGTTCATGTATTTGATTGGTGGCAGTTGATGACCATATGGTTAACCAATTTCCAGGTCCTATTTTTACAGAGCGATGGAATTTATACACTGTTGATATATTTTCACCAGCAGTAGTGCGAACTAGTTCATAACCACTTAATGATACTTCCTGAAAAAATAATTAAAAAAATATAACATCTTAAGTGTTATTAACAAAAAGTTATAATACTTTGGTTCCTTTGTTGTAAAGTTTTACAAATTGACCATCTGGACAAACTTCACTTATTTCTATATCACTTGTAGTTGAAGCTGTAACAATATTTGACGTTTCATACTCTGTGTCATCACGTTGAAATAATTTCCTCTTTTTGCCTCTTGGGCTTCCTACTACAGAAGTATTTGGAGTAATACTTAAACGCCTCTCTTCACTTTCCAATAGTTTTCTGTAAGCACTAATTTCCATATCCAATGCTACTTTTATGTCCATAAGATCTTGATATTCTTGTACTTTTAGAGACATGTCATCCTGCATGGCTGTCAATTGTTGATCTAGATTCTGTATCTCAGCCAAATATTTAGTTCTTTGACTTTCTTTCAGACGTTCTAAATCAGCTATTTTCCTCTATGAGTAAATAAAAAAAGTCACTATAATATACTAATATAATATACATTCATAATATATAACAGTAAAATATTACCAAAAGATCATTATTAGTAGCAAGTAAATCATTTATTTGTTTTGTAAGTTCATTAACACGAGCATTCGCAGCAGAAGTATCTTCCTGAGCCAATTCTACAGCTTTTTTTTTACGTTGTAGTTCATTTTCCAAATTTTGAATCTAAAATGTTTTATAAATATTTCAAGTTAAAATTAAATAAACACACATATATGTATATATACTAGCTGTCCCAAACCGGTGTTACCAGTGTATTAGTTTGGCTTTTGGCATTTTCATAGATTGTGTATTAGTATTTAATTTATACAGATATTGTTCTGTTCTCAATTAAACTGTTTTGTGTTAGTGTATTTGTATACTAGTAACTTACATATTTTAAGTTAAAACTTAAGTAAATCAAATCATTTTTATAATATAAGTATATTTTTTTAAATGTACAAATATTAGATATTTAAATATATTTTTATGGACATGATTTAAGAGCAGAATATAATTTTAGCACCCCTAGCATTTATGCTTTAGTTATGCTTATGATTGAAGTATTAAATTTATATATTGTTATTAACTTATTATTTTTTAATTATTATAATTTTTAAAAATCATCATTTAATTTAAATCATCTAATTGTATCAAAATAAACTTCTTAATAAATCTTACTGTACATAATATTGATATGCTTTAAAACTAACCAAGAATGCAAATTTAAAAAATAATATTATAAAAACATTTTCATAACATTAATAGAATATTATATGCTATAATTTAACTTTAAAAAAATGTTAATTTATTTTTTATAAATATTATTTATTAACAAATAATATTATCAGGGATGATTAAAATAATTTACATTATTTGTAGTTAATAATAAATATAAACCTTGCTCGAAGAACTTAACCGCGCACAAAGAATTTCATAAGAATCTGTCCAACCAATTAGGAAGAGTTTAAATACTTACACACAGACAGAAGAAATATATAAATAAAAATATTCAAGGTAAAATAGATTTAACTGCTAATTATTATAACTTTTAATACAATTAAAATTTTGCTGCAATTTCTTTTTAAACAACTGTTGTATTTTCTTAGACTATGTTACATAGTCTTGTAACAAGCATATTCTTTTAATAACAAAAAAATAAAAACTTTTTTTAACTTTTAATTTTTTTGCAATTTTAAAATAACCATTTTTTAAAAGCTCTTATTACAAAAAAATATGGATTAATAATAACTTTAGAATAAGTACTTATTGAACTACATCCATTTTAATACATAGACAAAGGTATGTATCATGAATGGAATTTGTATTATTAAATATTCTAACCATATAAGTGTACCCACCCACGCCATTAATGCACTCAATGTATTAAATTGCTTGTAATTCAATGAGTATTTATTGTAATGTTATTATCAGCCCATCAAAATTTGTTGGAGGAAAAGCTTTAAATTAAAGAAATTTTAATTATATCAAAGGTTATAAGAGGTTCAAATATCAGTTAGATCTGTTCCACTCAGTATATATACATACTTTTCCATCAAATAGATCTGATATTTCTTTTTTATTCCGTTTAACATCTTCTTCAGCTTGTTGGCGCAATAAATGAAGTTCAGACTGTAACTTCTCTTCATACTCTTTCATCAAACGTCCATCAACCTCACTAATAATTTCTGTGCGGCGACTTGTTCTAGTATCATTAAGTTGTTGTTTGTGTACCTGCATAGATATTATAATATAATCAAACATTTTCATTATTTTTACAGTAATAATAGTTACTTCTTCTTTGAATTTGTAATTTTCTCTGAGACTTTGCAACTTGTTTTCTGCTGTAACTCTTTGTAAAATTTCTTCTTCCAATGTTTTCTGAATATCTTTCACATTTTTCTTTTCAACAGCTAATTCTTTAATCAATTTCTGAAAGTGTTTCATAATCAAAGTATATTAAACTCATTATTATTAAATAATAATAAAAAAAAAAAAAAATACTACCTTATTTGTATCCTTTAAATTCTTGTTTTCAATTAAAGTTTGTCCAAATTTTGAGTTTAAATCATTAAATCGTGCAATATATGGAGTAGCTTCTTTTAATTCTTTATTGACACCATCTAATCTGTAATTAAAATTACAAAACATATAATTAAAACTACACAAAAAAAAACTTTAATAAAACAATAGTAATTAATAGAATTAAAAAAATCATTTGAAAATATTTTGATTAACTTAATGGAACAATAATAATGCATATTCTTAACAAAACAATAATACACATAAATGTCCCCAAAAATACAACAAGGAGTCTATCAAATCTGTTTATTAGAAAAAAAATACAAATTTTGATATTATTAGTAAAAATATGTGTACTTACAATTTTACATTGGTATAATTATAACTCAAAATTAAAAGCCTAAACATTTTTTTAAATAATATAAATTTTATTCTAATGCCCATTATACAGGGTGTTCAGTAAGTCAGGAAACGGGTTTCTATTGTTCTCATTGCTTGTAACAATGAGAACAATAGAAACCTGTTTCCTGACTTACTGAACACCCTGTATAATTATTAATTTTATATTTTATTTAATTTTACCAGCTCAATTGTAAGAATTTTGTAACAAAAAATGTTTTTCCATATCTATTATATAATTTTGTTTAATAAGGTAGGTATGGGTAATAAGGTCAATGTAAGCTTTATATACGTTTAGCTAGACATAATACAAGCCTATTATATTACCTGCACCTACCTTACATATTTATTATGACCAAAGTACTAAAAATTTTATGATGAATTATATTTTTTAAAAAAATAACCACTATAAAATAATTTAAAATAAAATGATCCTATATTCTAATATTAAATGGCATAATAAGTAATTTCATATAAATGTACTTTAAATACAAAAATTAATACTTAGTGTACTTATTGAATACAACTTTTATAAAAACGTATTTTTCTCATTCACTGAAATAGTTAAAATAATGTTATACCTACTTTGATTTAAGTTCTTCTGTCTCTAAATTTTTGCGTCGATTTTCTAATTCAAGGCGACTTTTTTCTTTGGCTTCACGATCTAAAGCATTTCTCAAATCTTCTAGTTCCGATTCAAATAGAACTTTTACATTTGTCACCTCCTTTGTAGTTATTTCTTGACACGAATGCAATTCATGAGTGAGCTTCGAATTTTCTGTTTCCAAGTACTTCACTCGATCTATGTAAGCGGCCAAACGGTTATTGAGATTCTGTAGTTCATGTTTCTCTTGAATACGACTAAACCTAGTAGGACTTAATGTCACCGTCCTTCTACTTTTATCACTAGCTGTACTTGCTGTAGAATCATCAGGTTGTGGTGTGTTTCTTGTAGCACCACCTTTCCTTGATGTTCTTTGGGACATATTGATGATTCCGATTACCCCTCAAACTTAACACACTACAGAACGCACAATATTTTTAACAGACGGCACGGTACCGGTATATTATATTTAAATTAATGCATTAACAAACTATGAGTAACACAACTTATAGGTTCACAAAAATAATAATATTATTCAAACACAGTTAACAAAACTATTTTAAAATTCAATACGGGCACAAGGATTCACTAAAATGATTAATAATTCGGCGGCAAGGTAGGTGACTAATAAACACAAACGACAAAATTCTTAACGGGGGTCGAAAACCCACGCCTACGAGACGCCGCCGACTATTGAATGCAGTATGACCAATATAACAGCCGGCATATTCATAATATGCCGGTATATTACCGTTTATGAATTTCAAGCACATATGTCTATGAACATTCTACAAGTATACATAAGTGCAACATGTTGCATTACCACCAACTTAACATCATTTTTTTTATAAAGCTTTTATTATGTAATTATGTAAAGCTCGAATATTACATAAATTAAACATAATTACATTGCAGGCCTAAAGAAAATATTCAGTGACTTCACAATTTAATTATAAGAGTATTACAATGACGTACTTATTATGCTTGTACAATATCTTTTATTGATTCTTATATAGCTTACTACTTCTATGAGATATGAACACGCAATAGATAATTTAAGGAAGATACTACTATAGATTTAATGGCCTCAAGTCTAAGGTTGTAGCAAAATATAAAATTTCGCTATAATAAATATTTAAAAAATATAAATCATATAATTAGAATCATTATTTTTTAGTTATTATAATTTTTTCAAAATGTTTGTAATTCTTATTCATTGTTTTATAAAACTTCACACACACACAAAAAAAAAATTTGTTGCAAACTATAATTGTGCAATTGTAATACTTAATGTTATTTTACAATTAAATACACAGAATGATCCGTTTATCACGAATAACTCAACTACCCTTAAAATAAAGACAAATATAAACTTTTTATTACACTATTATCTGATAAGATATAAATATCTTAATATTTAGTCAGAAAATTTAATCATTTTTAATAATTAAATAACCATAACTTGTGACTATTAATCTGAAAAAATTCAATAGTTTGAAACTTGAGGTTCGGATTTTGGACTTTTTAAAGGGACGAATTAAGAACTATATATTGCTATGTGCAGCGAATAAGGCAGTAACTCAAAAAAATTCATTTTGATATTATAAGGTATTTGTATTTAGGTTTTAATCTTCTTATAATAACTTTCATCAAAATATCGACAATTTGGATTGAATCAGAATTTAATTACTAAGAAAATTGATAAACATATAGCATGTAATCAGAGAGTAATTTTTATTTTCAATATCCTGAAAGTAAGAAAAAGTGAATTAATGTCTTATTCGCTGCACATATCGATACAGACCCCAAAGCGGTATCTTGATATGAGCCCCCTTTAAAAATGCAGCCGATCCATTAAAAAAATACTATAAATTTAATTAAAAAGTTTTAATTTTTTAAGTTTCATTCATTATTATTTTGTTTTCGAAGACCATTATCGTTTACTTGATTTTTTTTTTTATATATTTCGCACTAACGTAAACGATTTATTATTAATGTTTGATCTGGCCCCGCTCGGTCCATAATATGAAGTCAATATTACGCCATAATCCGACTTTTGAACCAAGCTAAATTTAGATAGGATTGGGCTAAGACAGAATTGAACTAATTTCTGCTATACAGCCAATCCAGAAACAGAAAATATGATAAAAATTTTTCTTTTTAAAAAATATGTTGACAGTGTATTAAAATTCAAAAGCGACCAAGGCAAGAAGCCTTAGGCGCTCTCTCCTAATTATTTCTACGAAAACTGTCCATTATTACAGAGATATTATTGACAATATTTATCTTCTTCTTAAAATAATGAGGATTATCCAAAACCAAATAACATTCATGGGCATATGTAAAACTCTTTCTAGAGGGGAGGTGGCTCAATACTTTTTATTTAGATGGACTTGCTAGAAACAATTATTTTATAAAAAAAATTCCAAAATAAAACAATTTTATATAAATATATATCGTGATTCTTTGTACTATTTTATTACACGGAGCTGACATTTACATAAATTTCATCACAAAGTCAGTATCAAAATTTTAATTTTGTATTCACATAAATACAAAACAGTTTTTGTAGTTTTTAAATATTATACTATAACATAAATAAGTTGAGAAGAAATATTAACAGTGACCAATTTTAGATCAATATCTACATATAAAAATATAAAATGACAAAAATAGTAATATAATTCATAAAGCATTCAACAAATTAAAAATATATCAACAACTGTGGGAGGTTCTATTATTATAACAAATGTTTATATTACCTTAAATTTTTATTTCTATAGCTTAATAATCCTTAATATAATAAGTTTTTTAGTTCCATGTGTAGTCATAAATTAATTACATGTTATTTTAAGCTTATATTAAATAATTAATTAATTAAAGTTTTTTAATAATCTAAAAACTAACAATAATTACGTCACGGTTCTATCCTAAAAATCGTATCATTTTATAATTTAGGTTATTTTATACTTATTTTATTTTTATTTTTTGAACAATTTAGACCATTTTAATAAATTTCTTATATTAACGCTTTCCACTATTTTATGTTCAAAATTAAAGCGTCCCCCGGCATTTTGGGATTCGACTTAAAGTTGACGCTAGATAGATTATACTTCAAATTAGAAGGACTCCGTCCTCCCAAACTTTAACCACTGATTGCTAGGAGATTTTCTAGATTAACCACTTTTCAGGGTAATTGAATTATTTTCAAAGAAATTAACTAAAAAAAATTATAAAAACATAAAGAAATTGCCCTTTTTTTAACAAAATCTAAAAAAGCATAATATTAAGCAAGTTGCTAAAAACATACCATGTTGTCCTCTTGTCCCCTAATAGGCAACCATTTACCTCACAACTCATAGCGGCATTGACAAGAGACAGTACTGCCTCTATTTAAAAAGAAAATCGAATTTTACTTTTTTTGTAATATGTAACATTTGATAATTTATTCATCCAATGATAAGTAAATTTGACTAAGCAGCCATGAAATTTGACATTTTTTTTGACGAGGATAAAGAAATTTTTTTATAATAAATAATTTTTGCTTTTTTTTTTAAAACATCCTTCTAAAAGTTATATTTTTGGTTAAAAAAATTTTAACAATAAATATATTTCAAGAAGGTATTTTGAGCTACTCAATCCCCTCCTATAAATACGCTCTTGTGTTTTAGTATAATAATATACATTTATATAAAATACTAATATTACGACTTCCAGAGTCTTGCACGTATTAATGAATGTTTTGTAATGAAAAAGGAAAAATCAAAATAATGTATTTATTAATCAATACAACAATTTTTAATAAGTCTAATAATTTTATAATAAGTTTAAATAATAAATCTAATTATACTTATTATCAAAAATTAATATTTTTTCAATCTAAGTAATATCAAGTACGAATGTTGATTGAAAATGTATAATACTTTAGAATTCAAATTATGATCATTACTTACCCGAAAATATTTCGAAATATTTTATTCATGGTATATTAAAACTTTAAAAAAACTTATTCACTAAACTTGAGTAAATAATCTATTTTTTAATAAAAAAAATTGTAGAAATATTAAAATATGTAATTAATATTAATAAATAATATTAAAATTATACAAATATGTAGAATATATACAATTTTTGAATATAGCATAAATCAAAGAGATTTCATGCAATCAACAATTTATTAATTTATTTCCTAGCAATATTACACTTGTTAATAAATGACTAAATAACACATTTTTTCACTAAAATAGACTAACAAAACATTAGTTTTCAGGAGAATTTTATAAAAACTGAACATTAACATTAATAGTAACATTAAAATTTTCAGTAATTATTGGCAGAATATCACGAGGAATAATTTAAATGCTTAAAATGATTTAATAAAGAATTCCGTTCATTGTTAATTATGTAATTCAATTAATACCTATACAATGTAAAATGCAGGTAAAATCTATATGGTATTTAATTGACTAATATAATTAAATACAACATTTACATAACTTTACAAATTTTAATTTTCCCCTCCCTAAAATAATTTTGTATAATAATACTAATACTTTATTAAAATTTTGGAGGGGCAGATTTTGAAATTGGGGGTAAGCCCTACCAGGACTTTCCTCAATTTACGTTTATATCATAGGTTTGATTGATGGATGTTTATTTTTTTTGAAAGTTACGAATTTTCTAGATGAGATCCATAAATTATTTGGATTTTAAATATTTCATTTTAATTTAATTTATATATTATTTAAATAATCATGTGTGATTTATATTATGCATTAAAATAATATTTTTTAATCGGGATGTCCAGGTCCCTGGTCCCTTAAATCCACCATTGTTTTATGATAACAATCATAAAAATACTGTTTCAATAAAAATTTAGTAGTCAACAATTTCTTGTTCCGAGGACCATTCTGAAGAGGTTTATGTAAAGTGCACACTTCTCCACTTGTCAATATTTTATCGTTTTAGTCAATATATAAGGTTGCTACCAAAAAAATGAATGTTTTAAAGATGCTACACAATTAAAAAAAAAATATTTAGTCAGTAAAAACAATTTATTCACTCTTCTTCTTTCTTTTTTTTAGCTTCGAATTAGATTTAAAAAAATAAAGCAAAATAATTAAAAATTTCTATTTTATATATCACTAAAAGTGAAATAATTTTTGAAAATGATGATTTGGTTAAATTATTTCATAGTAGAAACTACTTTTGTTAATAATTTAAATACTTCACAAATTTCGGCGGGAAAATGTACTTGCTGAGTAATTTTTAGGTTATATTAAATATGATAAAATAAATTCATGTGATATATGTCACTTCTATTCGTATTAAATAAAATTTAGTTTTAGAATGAAATTATATCATAATTTTGTTTGGATATTTTAGTTGTATAATAAGTGTAAATTGGATTCTTTTTATGTTATTATGTCACATGTAGGTGTGTTTGGAATTCATGTTGGAAACTCAACAGCATCAATAGCTATTTCTAAAGTTTGTTTTTTCTATTAATATTATTAGTTATTATAAATCAGTTTTACAGATCTAAATGTTTAGAAAAATTTTATATAATTCTGATGTTTTTTAATATGTGAAGTTATTCAGTATTTTAAATAAAACAGTTGCCATATAGTTATTGATAAGTCTTTATTTGGTATTACATAAACTGATAAATAGCTGCAGTTCTATAATCGATTTTAATTATTAAATATAAGTAGTATGATTGTAATATAATAACATGATTATTTATTTTAAAATTTTTTTAAGGTCATTTCAATAACAATAAATATACTCCAATAATAACCTCATTATCCCAGGAAAATTAAAGTTTTATGTTAACTATGAACTATTTTAGAATATTTATATTAAAAGATATAAATTAAAATTATACTATGAAGAAGGGGTGAACTACTACTATTTGCAGTTTGTAAGAGACTTAATGAAGACGTGTTATATATGGATGATTCTTTTATCATGAATCTTATAATTTAATGAAAAATCAAAATAATGTTGATCATTTTTTATTCATCAATCATGAAGTATTTTTTACGTTCATTCCTCATGTCTTGTGGGGGTGTCAACATTATTTTTTTAATGGAAACATACATAACTAGTTCATTTATTATATAATCTAATAAAAAAATGACTGGTCAATAACAATTTTTGGACCAGTATTTGAGAAGTTATTTATGATTTAAAATTAAGAATGTAGCTGAAGTGTGGGTGCTTCTATTTTTATTACTAGACATTTTTTGGCCTCATTCCTCCTCCCAACTAGGTATAAAAATATCAATAACTACTGAAATACTGGTTCAAAAGTTGTTACTGATGAGTCTTTTTCTTAATTGGACTATTTTCTAATAAATTAGCTTATTAATTATGAATGTTGCTAATAGAAAAATTAAAGTTGATATCATTATATAGCAAAGAGTATATGCGTAGGATGGTTAAAATTTTTGTTTTTGGGAGAGATTTAAATTTAATTTTTTCCCATCAAAAATTATTTTTTATATAAAATTGCAAATATTTTTGCTAAATTTCTAGTGGAACTAAATTGTAAATTTAGGGATAAGCTCCCTTATCCCCTCATCACACACCTATATATTTATATATACCTAAGTCATAAACATAAAAAGTATTGTGTTATTGATAAAATGAGAAAAATACTGTAGTAAAATAAACTTATAAAAAAATAATTAATATTATTCTTATTTTTAGATTAAATAAGTAGAGTTCATGATAAAAGAATCATACATCAAATTATGTGTTATACTCTTAATTTAAGAGTACAATTAATAATATATTTTAAAATATTGTGTAAATTACTTTTAAGTGATTTATAAATTAATTAATTTGAATGTTTTTGTTTTACTAATTAAATTCTTTAATTGCATTTTAGGATGAAGGGAAGGTTGATGTATTAGCTAATGAAGCTGGAGATCGGATTACACCTGCCATTGTATCAATTACAGATGAAGAAACTGTACGAGTTTGTGTATATAGAATATCCCACCATTTTCTGACAATCAATAACTTTTGATCCATTGAATATTTTAACTATTGAATGTAGAAGAACTTACAATATAATGTTACACAATCAATTTTAACTATTTTGAATAAATCAAAAACTAATTTGAAATTTTAGATATACAAAGTGATTTTTATATTATAACCCACTCAATTACTTAGAAAATAAAAATATTTTAAACATTTTTTTTTTTTTTTAATTACCTTCAGTGACATTATTCTTCAATTATTAGCTATGTAGTCTTTTTAATTCATACCTTATATTTTATAAGGGTTTAATTGACAATTTGTTGTTAATTATATATATATAAATATATATATTTATATTGCCAGTTTGTGTAAACATTGAAGTACTTATTCAAAAATTGTTATTGACCCATCAAAATTGTTTTTAAAAAATTCACTGGTTCTAATGTTATTATATAATGTGAAAATCTCGTGGGATACTCTGTATATACATATATCTTCTCTAAAATTATTCTGCTTTAGGTTGTTGGAAATGCTGCAAAAACTGGATTTATATCAAAACAAGCCAACACCATAGCATACAATAACCGTTTAATGAATTTGGCAATGGATGAAGATGAAAAACAAGTGATAGTGGAAACAAATAAAGTTCAAACAATTATTGCTGGTGGTCATTTAGCCTATGAAATACCATTAGATAGTAAAAAAAAAACTTATTCGCCACAATCAATAGAATCAAATATTTATAAGACACTATATGGTATTTATACAAATTTTACTTAAAGCTAATAATTACATAATGAATTGTTAGTTTATTATGTTTTAAGGTATTGCTAAAAGAGCTACTCATAGTGATGATAATACAAAATGTAGTTGTGTTGTTACTGTACCAGAATTCTTTGATGACCCTAGTAGAGAGTCTGTAAGGAACGCTGCTACTCTAGGTGGATGGAATGTTTTGCAAGTTGTTAATGCACCTAGTATAACCCCATTTACTTATGGAATTAATGTTTCAGAACCAATCAATGATACGTATGATTGAAATTAAGTCAGGCATACAGAGTGTAACACTAGTTTTGACATCTTTAATAACTTATGTTTTAGTGAATATCTTACAATTACATTTTTTTTAAATTAATTTTTAGTTTTGGTTTACGATAACATATTTTTGCTATTTGTCTCTAATAAGAAAAAATTAAAAATTAAATTTTAAAATAGCAATTTTTTATCCCATTTCTTACAAAAAAATTTAATTGATCAATAACAACTTTAGGATAATTACTTATCTAGTTACAAGCATTTTAATACATTAAGTGGGTATGTAATGCTGCTGGAGTATGAATTATAAATTTACCCACCTACTCTATATTGAAATAATTACTAATAATAACTCAATCAATACTTATTCAAACATTTTTATGGACCCATCAATATTTTTTGTAAGAATGGGGAGAAAAATAAATATTTTGAAATTTCAAAAAAATAAAAAATTTAATTTATAATTTTTTTTTATTAGAAACAAATACTAAAAATATGCCTTTATTGTAATACAAATCTATAAAAATTATTTAAAAAAAAGTAATACAAAATATTCTCTAGATCAAAAGTTATTAAGGATGTCAGAACATGGTGGGACACCTTGTATATATCTATTTAATCTAAATGTTATTTTAGGTATATTTTAGTATACCGTTTAGGAGGAATTAGCTGCGATGCAACAATATTATATGTGAACTCTGGTTTAGTTTCTATAGAAGCATCAGAACATACTAAACAGATTGGAGGTTATAAATTAATAGAAGCATTAAAATTTCATTTAATAGATGAAGTGAAGAGGTTATTTTTTTTAAATTATATAATATTTACTAGAACATTGAACTTTGATATAATGTGCTGTCCCATATTCCCTTACTTGAAATAAATGTTAATACTAATATTTCATTGTTTTTTAAGAAAACATCGAGCTGATCCAACTGAAAATGCCAGAGCATCAGCTAAATTACAAAGAGCTACTGAAGATGCTGTTCACTTGTTATCAACATTAAAAACAGCAAATATTTTTATAGAATCTCTTACAGACGGTATTGACTTTACAGCTTCTGTATCTCAAGCTAGATTTGAATCACTTATTGCTCATTTATTACCAGTTTTTGCTCAACCTATAGAAAGTGTTTTAAAAAAAGTTCAACTTAAATGTGATTCTATTAAGAAAGTAATTTAATCTTAAGTCTTATAAACAGAATGAATCTTTAATCATGAATGAATTAAATGAAAAAGCAAAATAATATTGATAATTTTTTTATTAGTTTCTTTTAGTTAAATGTTTCTTTTTTCAATTGTGAAGTATTTTTTATGTCTTATAGGGTTGGGTTGGGCTTTTAATGGAAACATATGTATTTAACTAGTTTATTTGTTATATCATAATCTAATTAAAAAATGACTGGTAAATAAAAATTTTTGGACCAGTATTTCAGGAGTTATTAACATGTTTATATACCTAGGCGAGGAAAAGTATAGCTGGAAAATGTTTTAATAATAAAAATAGCATCACTCACTCTTCATCACCGGCCATAACTTTAAATTGTTAGTAACTTCTGAAATAATAGTCCAAAAGCTGTATTGAAGTAATTTTCTTAATTAGATCATTATCTATTATTAAGCTAGTTAAATTAAATGTATTTTATCATTTTAATTATAGTTGACACCTTTTTAAGGCATAAGAGATTCACATAAAAAATATTATATGATGGATAAATTTAGAAAAACATTAAACTACAAGAAACCAATAAAAAAATTATCAACATTATTTTCTTTTTCTATTAACTAATTGGTTCATGATAAGTGAATTATCATATATCTATATTAAAATATGCTTGCTATCTCAAATTATTACAGGTAATTTTATGTGGTGGTCCTCTTAAGATACCCAAACTAAAATCTTATATTGGTAGTTTATTTCCAAATGCTGACATACCAAATGGTATAAGCCCAGATGAAGTATTAGCCTATGGAGCTGCTGTACAAGCAGGTTTTTTAGCAAAATATTGGAATACATCAGATGATCTACCTGAACCTACAGTAGAAGTATCCACTTTAAAAGAACCTATCGAAATAATTGTAATAATTGTATTATTAATTTATGTCTATTTTTTTTTTTATCTTTTTTAATTTTTTTCAGTGTTGTGGAGAATTGGTAACTATGAATCAAAATGAAGCATTACCATCTACAAAAACAATAAAAACAAAAGTAAACTCTGAGTATGTTACTCTTTTGGCTAAATCAGGGAAGGAAAAACAAAAAAATTTTGAAGTAAATGTACAAACTATACATTTTTAATTAAAATTAGGCTATTTCTATATTTCTTTAAAAGTAGTTAATAAATTGTATATTTTAAAACGGATCATTGGTGGATAATATATGTAACAGTTTCTGACTTCATTTTTTACCTTTAAAATAGAAATCTTTATTATCAACTAAAGGGTTGCTATTGTTTTGACTTATCTTCATAATTATAATTACAACTAACTTTGAAGTTTAAATTATACTAAGGCTTTTTTCTTAATTTTGATGTTATTATGTTGTCATAATTATAAGTTAATTTTAATGTCAAAACATCAAAATTAAATTTACTTAGTTGGAAATTTAGCTAGAGTATTCAAATACATAATGTTATATTTTATTTAGTGTGTGTTTTTAAGATAAAATTACCTAAATCTACTTTTTTTTCTTTATTTTAGGTAAAATATTTTGATAAAAAATCTTTTACAGTATTAACCAACATTAAAAATAAATTAATCATTTTTAAGGAATATTTATAGACATATTTCAATGTAATAAATAAATGAGAATGATAAAATGAATAGTATTTCAAATAGTATCATTCATGTATAAAATTCAAGCTGATTAATACAAATTAAAAAAAAAATCTCCTAGATCCCTCTTTAATTTAGTCCCATAAGCAAGCGTGGGACTAAGTTACCTTCTCAAAATAAATGTTTGCCCATCTCTTGCCCCAAGTGTTTTGGCTCTGGGAAAAGAGATGTCGACTAACAATAGCTATATAAAAAGTTATATTAATCTATAATATTATAGATTTTTGTTTATTTTCATTTTCAATTTTGTACTTTTCAGTTTCACATTATCAAAGATTAAATATCACCTATTGTTTGTAAAAAATATTTGATAACATATTATATTACATAATTAGGTTATATTATTAATAGTAAAATTTTACTTATCTTATATTTCACACAACACCACTAATAAATATAAATTCATCCTGAAAATTAATTTTTATTAACAAAATTAAAGTAATTCTGCTTGTCTCTGAAAAATTAACTGCCTTAAAGGAATAATTATCATTGTGCCATATTTTATAATTTTAGAAACAAGTTTAATAATAAATGTTTTATTATCAAATTAATAATTAAAAAATATATATAATTTTTAATAATTGTTAAAACTGGTTTTACTCCAAAAAATTTATCTGTATATTTTAAAATCAATGTTTAAAATGTTAAATTTTGACTTTTTTTTTGCTAGGCTAATATTAATGTTAAAGTTGATGAAGAGGTTATTTTTACTTTAATTGCTAACATGTAAGTAGAAAGTAAATTAAGTTATGTTACATAATTATAATTATTATTTTATTCTAAATTTTAGTGATCAAACTTTGGAGGTTAAAGTACAAAATTCAAATTTAGAACAATTATCTTCTACAATGTTCATAACTGTGTGAAAACCAAGAATTGTTTCATAAATATAAACTGTTTAAAGGATGATTTTTTTTTTTATTTGAGTTATTGTCTATGTTTAAATTTTCCTGTCATATCTGAATATTTATACTTCAAAGTAGATAATAATAAAAACATTAATAAAAATAATATAATAATAATTTTTTTAAAAGTGTACAACACTTTAAATATAAATTGATTTTATAATACTTTAAAATGTTTTAGTACAAGTTAAATAAATGTATGTTTGTCATATGTTTATAATCTTGATTTTAAAATATTTGTACGTATTTTATTTTTCCCTTTACGCTTACTTAAGGAAAAAATTGGCGTCGTACTTGATTTTATGACTATGAATAAGATAAATAATAAATATTTTATTATTAAATTTAAAAAATATGTACTAATAGTTTTTTAATAATAAATACACAACTTTTAAAAATTAAAAGTATGGTAACAGAGAAGTTAAGACATTTATCTTAAATGTGATAAGGATGAAATAATTTTTCTCTGAAAGCGAGAAAATGAAAAGCAATATGATTTAACGTTAAAACTTTGTAAGTATAATTATATTACCAAATTTTATTATAAACACTAACAGCTATTAATTAATATTAAACATTTTTTCGATACTTTCCTCGGAAATATATATATTTAAAAAAACCAAACCCAGCACAGTGAGGTGGCGGCACAGTGGGGTCGTGGCATAGTTGGGTCCAGTATAGATGATATCTGACAGTGATTAAAATCACTATCATAAAAAACGCTTCGATGCAAATCTGTAGATAGTGTTTAATTAAAAAATAAAATTTGTTAAAATAGCATATTTTTCAGGAAGATGAAGGTCGTCGGGACAAATTTTTTTTTTCATTTTATATTACATAAAATAAGTTTTAATTTGATATATGTTTAAAGGANTACATAAAATAAGCTTTAATTTGATATATGTTTAAAGGACGCAGTATTTCCGGAACATTTTCAAAAATTAAGTTGAAAAAATTAATTTTTGTAAAAAAGTTGCCATTTTAAATCCCCCCCAATGAGCAGGTTAAGTGATAGATTTTCAAAAAAATGATATCAAATGAAAGGTAAATATCTAAGGTTTTAGTATAAAAAAAAATTTAGTAGATTTGTGGATTTTTCTAAAAGTTATGAAAGTTTTAAGAAAAAAAATGTCGAAAATTAGCGATTTTTAAATTTGTAATTTTTTTGGATATTTCCCCCATTTGTGGGGAACGAGGGAATTTTTATGGGGAATGTCTCCAACTAGATACGATTTTTGATCTTTTGACGTATTTTTGAAAGAAATCGGTCCAGTGAGTGCTGAGAAAAAGTGGCAACAGACATAAAAAAATAAAAACACATCATAGTAAAATTAATACCTTCTCCTAATAAGCTCAATATTTTTTTGCATTTTTATGGTAATAGATAACTTAAATAGAAGTAATAGTAATAATTTCCTAATAACTTTTGTTGTTTGAAAAGATTCTACAATTGAAATATTCAGAACTTAATTTTAATGATTTACTTTAACTAAATGAACCAATCAAAACAAAGTTGTTAAAAAGATTACTCAATTGAGCGTATTATAAAATTTGATTATATTTGTAAAAATCAATCATTTTTTTTAAAAATGATTTATATAGCAACATGTTACAAAAAAAAATTGTAATATTATAGTCTAGTAGTAGCACACACAAATAGAGTAAAAAAATTATTAAATTACAAAGTAAAATGATTTAATTTTGTAGTTGAAACCTATCATATCAAACTTCATTCGTTAATAAATATTTTGAAAACATTAGAAATTAATGATTTTAATTGTCTTTATGGAGACGATGTAATAACTAACTGTTTAATTGATAAATTAGAATTTTTTTTTCAATTTTTGAGAGTAATATCTTCAACTAGATACGAATTGTAGTCATTGGACGTATCGTTGAAAAAAGTAGGTCAAGTTAGAGTAGAGAAAATAAATGATATTCACAAAAAAACATGTTCTCGGCTTAACATCGAAGCTAAAACTTAAAATATAGTAAAATAATTTTAATACGAATAAGAAATTTCTTCTTGCAAGGGGCGACTAAAGTGATGGGATCATTGATCTTTATTGAAGTTATTGAATCTAAATGAGTTAAAACTCAAACGAGTTAAAAATTTATACTAACTTAAAAAGAATTAAGAAAAAATTCACTGCCATACGCGGGTTGGAACCTCGTACCCAAAGCGTGTAAAACATAAGTTTTACCAACTCGGCAACCGTACGTCGCCACCGTCGATTGAAAAAATTAATTTAAATAACTAATATAAAATAAAATAAAATACAAATCCCAGAATTTTAACACAAAAATAGCATATTTTTGAATACTGTAGTCATTTTTACCATAAAGACAACTCCAGAGGTCAAATTTTTTTTTTTTCAGATTAAAGTATATTACATTAGCTTTAATTTAAGATATATATAAAAGTGACAGTACTTCCGGAACATTTTCAAAAGTTAAGTTGAAAAAGTTAATTTTTTGTAAAAAAGTTACCATTTTGAAACTCTTCCTGTGTTAAAGGGTCAAAAGATTACAAAAATATATTAAATGATAGGTAAATATCTAAGATATCTATTAAAAAAAAATTATATTTATTCGGTCATTTTTAAAAAAAGTTAAGGCAATTTTAAGTAAAAAAAATTGAAAAAATATCGAAAATTAGCGATTTTTAAATTTGTAATTTTTGGGGGTTTTCCCCCCTTAAGGGGAACGAGGGAATTTTTTTCAATCTTTGAGGGTAATGTTTTTGACTAGATACGATTTGTGATCTTTTGATATATTGTTCATCAATATCGGTCCAGCGAGATTAAGCGTTCAGACACAAAAAAAAAAAACACATTATAGTAAAATTAATACCTTCTCAGCTTCGCATCGAAGCTAAAAAAATTCTTATCTAACACATTTTCCGAAGAGCATTCGCACCTTTTAAAATATTACCCGATGAATAAATGGCATAGACGTATTTATTGATTTATTAATGGTATTGTACCTACTAACGTCCTACTAACGGGTTGATTTAACCCTAGACCGCCGACTTACCTGGGACCATCATACTCGTGCAAAAAGACTCCATTTAAATCTTAGAATCCGTATGCTTAAAACTTTACTAATTAATAACAAACATACTAACTAAAATATGAAACTTCTAATGTATAAATCCCTTATTAAATCCATTTGGACCTGTGGTCTTCAACTATGGGGAAATGCTAAAAAATCAAATATAAATCGTATTCAGGTATTTCAAAATAATTCTTTAAGAAAATTAACTAACTCCCCTCCATACGTATCAAATTATACCCTCCATTCTGATCTAAAAATTAAAACTGTTAAAGAAGAAGCAATAACATATTATAAAAGATTCTACACTCAACTAGCCTCCCACTATTCCAGATAATCTTTTGAGACGCTTAAAGCGTAACTAGTGTAGAGATCTATTAACTTAACTTTAGTTATAGAAAAAAAAAATAATAATCACTTAAAAGTGTCATCAATGGGTGGCTCCTTTTATCAAGTATTTCATGTTATAATTATTTTAGCTAATACTCTTATCGTACCTATAGGGAACATATTGTGTATATATTAATAAAGAAAAAAAAAAATATTAGTGAATATGATAAACTGCTATTTGAATAATGTTTGGATCAAAATAAAATTTTAAACAATTATCTTTATTTCACGACAATTTTTTCTATTAGTTGTATCACACAAAATAATGGCTCCATTGTTGACTTGAATTTAAATTCGAAAATTATAGTTTTTTAATAAAACGAATAATATTTTAAATATTTTGCATAGTATCAGAATGCTTTTATCATTCTTAATTATTTTAAATTAAAGGTCGTTTTATGTAGTATAATATAAATAAGAGAAAAACGTTCCGGTGATTTATCTTCTATGATTAATCAACCTCTAAAGTCAAAAACCATATAAATTCTATAGATATATTACATTTTTTGAAATACTCATCGAAGCTGTTCACAACAATTTTAATCACTGTCAATATTAATCAATGCTAATCTAATATATGACTACTATACCTTACTTTTTTAATTAATATTTTTCAATAAATAGCAATATTATTATAGCTCGACAATTATCTTTTATTTTAAAGAACAGTTTGTAGAAACAATGCAACAAGTTTTGAGAGTATATGAGATTAGACTTCGAGATGTGCAATAGAAGGTCAAAATTTAATCGTTTTAGTTAGCAATTTTTTAATATACTATAGATGATACTACTAAAAAATAGTTATTAAAAAGGGGTCGCATAGTTTTAAGACAATTATTCACTCGGTAAAAGTTAATTTTCATCTTTCTCTCCTATTATTTTAGCTTTGGGAAGGCCTTGATAAGAACTGATGTCATCATAATGTCGTCAGCTTGCTTCCTAAAGGAAGCATTAATTTTATATTTTTGTTTTCGGATGCACTGATTATTAAATTTCTCTTATCAAACGTCAACAAAATATACAATTGGCAAATATTGTGTAAGAACAAGAAAATAGGAACTATATAGTATTATAGAAAATTTTATGCCAAGTTACTGTGAAATAATATGAATATTTTTTAGTTGTAATTGACACATTACTATATCAACAGTTGATTTTAATAATACTATGGCCAATCAGTACAAAGGATGTTGTGTTTCTATAGATTGTATAGACGGTTCTGTCGTTCAAGGGGAAGTGAGTGGTATGACAGATGACAATGAAACTTTAATTTTGAAAAGACCATTTAAAAATGGAATACCGTTTAAAGAACCAGAAATTCAAATCAAGTAATTATAATACTACATAAAAAAAAAAGAGTTATATTAATTTTTACTACTATTTTGTTAGAGCAACAATGATTGCTAACCTCAAGATAATTAAAGCACATATAGAAATGGATCGAGAATTCGATAGTCAATTAGTTATTGACGAAAAGAAGAGTGTGTCAATGAAACAAAATAATAAACAGAAAATTAAATCAAAAAATATTCCTAATACTGTTTCTGGTTAGTAGTAAACTGTGTAATATGTTATTTATTTTTTAATGAATAAAAAAATGTTAATGATTAATAATATAGATCGATAAAAAGTTAATCTATTTTAATGAAATAATACTTATTAATTAACAAAATTTTCCATAAATTGTTGAATCAATAGTACTGAATTTTTTCTGAAATTGTATAGTCAATAGCATTTAAAGAATAGAATAGCTAAATTAATTTTTGAAATTTTCATGAAATTACATAAACTGTATTGATAAAACTCAAAATGTGTCTGAATATTTCAGGTTTTGCTTAAAAATCTTATATAATTATTTTTAAATCATTATATCAACATGCATTACTCATTAGACACAAAGTTTTTTTTTTTTAATTTTAATAAATAGCCTTTTGTAAGTATTTTTTTATTTTTTTTTTTATTAGACATAAAAGACCATGGCAGCTCTGGCCATTGGTCTGTTAGTAAATTACATTATTATTATTATTATTATTATTATTATTATTACAATTTTTGCATAACATTTATACATATTATATATGTAAGTATTTGTAAACAATTATAATTACATACAGCTACGAGCAAAAGTGAACATTAATGATAAAATTTTGAGAAATAGAGTTATAAAATAACAACATATATGTTTTAAATTATTCAAAAATTTATATGTATTTGGAAAACAAAATTGAAGCGTATTAGCTGAAAAAATACAAACAATAAATAGTGAGTTACTAGATAACAAATTTTTTAAAGTACTCACTTTTGTACAGGTTCATACACAGTAAAACAACTACATAGCATGACAGATCCTCCACTATGCTTGACCGTCTGCTTGTAATGGGAAGGTTTGATGCTCTCGCCAGTCCTTTTCCAGGACCAGTATCCGTCAGAGCAGTATCTATTGATTTTAGTTTCATCCAACCATATTACCCTCCTCCAGTTTTATTCTGTCCAGTTTTTATGATCTTTAGCAAACTTTAGTCTAGCCTTCATATTTTTTTTGGAAATTGCGGGTTTTTTTAGATTGGCCGCAATTGAAGATGAAGATGCTTCTCCCGTTTGTAAAAAGTGAGCATGTCTTCTCCTATCTTGCTGGGTAGTACACTTAGGTCTTCCTTTTAGTTGGGGTGTAGCGTTAGGACAACCTTTATTTTTTATTTTTTGCACTGCTGTTTGGCTGACGCCACACTATTGAGCCACTTTTCTGGTTGATTGACCCGATTTTAGCATCGAAATAATTTGTTTCGTTTTTTGAGGAGTAATTTTCATGTTGGTTCCTTTCACTACGAAAGACTGGTTCATACTGATTAAAATAGAAGTTTCATATTTTCTTTGTAATAGAAAGAAATGTAAACAAATCAAGAGTGAAAAATCTCTTTTCTCCAGACGCCCCAACAATAACAAGTCAAGGACACGCAATCTGCTTTGTGTTTTTAAATTGTTTTAATAGCATGTGCAAAAGTGAGTATTTTTAAATAAACAAACTCTTTTTCGTGACTATTTTTTTGCGCGTTAACTTTTGATTTAATCTCTAGAATATGGATTCAAAAATTTATTAAATTGAATTTATATTTAGTTTTGAAAATGCCAATTTTCCAAAAATTTTGGAAATTATGTTCACTTTTGCTCGTTACTGTATATAGATAATTATATTTATGAGTATGTAAGGGCATTATGGATTAATGATTGATTGATAAAATTAAATTGAATAAGTAGAGTTTTACCTTCAAGGATTTTCATGACACAATCCTTACCGTCTAATTTATTAATTAACATCTGATTTCTTAGATAGTTAATCTGCAATTTTTTTGAAATTTGTTATATTCATAAAATTAATCAATATTTCATTTCATTTTATTAAATAGAAATGAATATTATACTACAATATATTATTAACAAACTTGCTTATAGATTATTTTGGGAAGTGTGAGATAATAGGTTATGTACAGGAAATGATAAATCTTATAATAACTTTAATAAATATCTAACATTAAATTTTTTTGAATAATTGTTTTACTTAATTGCAATAGACCTTAATCAACAATTTTAACATAACAGTATTTTTTTATTTTATGAAAATTAAAAATGTTATTGAACAATTATGAGTAAAATTTATAATAAAAAAATAAAGAGTTAAAAAATGGCAACTTAAAAAAAAAAACGTTTTATTATTACTATTATTTTAATAGTGATAAAAGTACTTTTCAAACATAATTTAAGAAGGTATTAATTATAAAGATATAGCATATCTTGATGTTTAAATAAACTATTATTTTGAAATTATAATTAAAAATACAACATATATTTTTTTATTCTTTTTATTAATTATAAATAATAATTTTTTAAATTTAAAAAAGTTTTTTTAGGCCTTTCCTTGTAAAAAATGTTGTTAGGTAGTTTTAGGATAAGTTTTTATTGATTGCAATTATTTTAATAGTTAGAGTGGGTATGTAGCACGGGTGAGTGCTCATACTACAGTATTAGTTATTTTGTTTTGTTCTTATTGAAAACAAATAATAAATAATATGATTTTAACTAGTGATGGGCATTTTCAATTATTTTAAACTATTGAATAGTATTCGATAGTTTTAAAAACCTATCGAATAACTATTCTAATTGTTTTTATACAACCGAATAGTGTGATTTTAGCATAACCTATCGAATAGTTTTAAAAAATATTCGAATAGATTTGCGAATGGTTTCAAAAATATTCTATTAGTTCTAACTAAAATTTTTATTAAGTACACTTAATTATAATAAGAAGATAATTAACGAATACTTAAAATAAATAATTATACAATTAATAATAGTAAAAAGTACCATTTTACTAGTATTTCATAAGTTATAGCTATTTAAAAAATGAACTGGGGTGAGTCGCAGGTATATATTAGGATGGCTCTTATTTTATTAACTTTCATTGATCGATCTCAATATCCCCAATTTTTTTTTTATTTTATGAAAGTTATTTGTGTAAAATTTAGTTTTGATAACTTACCCCCTTGAGGTCCGAATCGGGGTTGAATATTCGTTCAAAAAGGTAATTTTTTAGTTTTTGATTATTATTTTTAAAACTAATCCACTTAGTATAACAATGTATAGAATATAAATTATAGATTTTAATATTTTCTTCTAAAATGGTATTTACAAAAATTTTCTAAAATTATTTTTACTTGCTCAAAAAAATAATTTGCTAAAATTTATTTTTTGAATATAAATCATTCTTAATTTTCGAAATAATCATTTTACAACAAAATGTTTCGTAAGAAAAAATATGTAAAGTTAAATTTTCTTAAATATTGGTCTTATGTAAAATTATAGTCAAATTTATAGTTTTACTGTTTTAATAACATAAACTATCTAAATAAGATTGTTTAAAACTGTTTATTCAGGTTACTACGATTATAAATAGGATACAATTAATAATAAAAGAAATTATTGATAAACATTTTCAAATATTTTAAACTATTGATTAACTATTCGAATTATGTTTATACCACTGAATATTTTATTTTTAGCATAAACTATCAAATATTGAAAAAACTATTCGAATGGAAGTACCAAATAGTTTTAAAAACTATTTGAATAGAATATAAAATATTTTCTAAACTATTCGAATGGAGCTACCGAATAGTTTTAAAAACTATTTGAATAAACTATCAAATAGTTTTTGAATGACTATCGAATAGTTCAATAGTTACTATTCGATATTTTGCATCACTAATTTTAATGTATCAATGAATGTATAAACTCTTAAAATAATATATATACTTTCTATAAACGCTCATGAATGTATATTAATCATTTTTAGATCAATCATCACAATATTTCACTAATCATAAAGAACGTAATGATGCTTGTTTTGGAGTTTCACTTGATAATATTGTTAAAGAAGACTTTGATTTTGAAAAAAATTTGGCTCTATTCAACAAAAAAGCTTTTTATAATAAATTACATAAAAAACCTGATCTTGTTCCTCAAGAAAAAATTTCTAATAATAAGTATAAACACAATGAAAATGTCTTGCATTCTACTCCAGTCAAGTTTAGACAAGTAACAGTTCCTTCACCTGCTGTCAACGAGTATATCACTGGTAAATTTTCAATAGTCTACTGTGTGAATGTGTTGATTGTGCAAAACTGGTTATAAGATACCTAGGTTTGAAATAATATTTTATTTTTATTAATTTATCATTGTTGTTACTATATATATTATAGATATTTTTTTATTACATTAACAATAGTCTTATTAATCAATGTGTTATTTTTTCTTAAATTTTAACCTTTAATTTTATATTTTCTTTTTATAGCCTTTTTATAGGAGCAAAATCAAGCTAAAAATTAAAAAGTTTCTTATTAATAAAATAATTTTAAGTTAGTTTTATATCCTAAAGCCAAATATTTGCACATTGACTTAAGAAAACTGTATTCATTTATCTGTTACTTCTAAAAACAAATTAGATGATGGATTAGTTGTACCTAGCATTACTTCAGAATTACGATGGAAATTATTTAACCTAGTAGAAGAAAATGGCTTGACTTCAGGTAGACAAAATGAAATTATTGGACGTGCTGCTACTGAAATGGTTTTACAACTTTTAGGAGGAAGTTACCGGTAAGTATAAATAAATAAATAATTACAATTGAAAAACATTTTATATTATTCTAATATGACAAATACATTGTTAATTGAAGATTCAACCCACGAAATGAACATCAGTGGCCTAGAGTTGTAGTTTTGTGTGGACCAAATCGTTCTGGTGCAATGGGAGTAAACTGTGCTAGACAACTAAGTAGTTATGGTGTACACACTGTTGTTGTTCTTTCTGAACCTGGATTATATACACCACAACTAGCTAATGAAATGTCTCTTTATCAGTTTACAACAGGAAGATTAATTACTAGTGCAGCAGGTAATTTATTTAAAATATTTATCCAGTTAATTTTGAAAAAATGCATTAGTATAAATATGGATTAAATTATATTATAATAATATGAAGATCAATAAAAAAATTCTAAATTCACTGAGCTCAAAAATGTATAGTAGTTAAATTTTCTAAAATATTGGTCTTATGTAAAATTATAGTCAGATTTATAGTTTCACTGTTTTAATAACATAAACTATCTAAATAGGATTGTTTAAAACTGTTTATTCAGGTTACTACGATTATAAATAGGATACAATTAATTTGATACATTGAAATTTTGAATTAATAAATCAAAAATTATTGCAAATAGGATAAAAATTTTTTATGGATAGTAGCATTTGTATTTGTATTTTTTTCTAAAGGATAATTTTATGTGAATCTTTAATGTACAATTTTTTATTATAATTTTTCAAATGAATTTTGCAAAAACCAAAATGTAAAAATAAGTTTGATATTCATCATATAAAAACTACAAGAGTATAAATTAAAAAATTTGCCTTTGATTTTAATCATCAGAAAGAAATTGTTTAAAGAATTATGATAACTAACCCGGATATATAATTTTTATATTATAAAAGTATTAGAAAAGAGATGAATTTATAATTTTAAACTTATATTTCAGTCACTTGAGCATCCATTACAGTATAAAAATCGAGTTTTGAGTGATACTACTACAAAAAAAGTCATTGAAATTGAAAAGATTTAGTGATTTACTTCAATGTCAAATTATTTAAATATATTCAATTATTAAATAAATATATTTTCAAAAATCTTCAATAAAAATATAGAATTTTCAATATATTATTACATAATTGAACAAGAAAAATGAAGATTTTCAGGGAAGATTACTTGGCGTTCTTAGATTTTTAACATTTTTATTTCAATGAAAGCACTTGGTCACAAGACTTAGTGAAAATTATTTACTCTGAGTGTTAAATTTTTACTGTTTTCCAGAAAAACATTTGCTGACGCTAGTGTTTTATGACTTAAGCTTTGATATTTTCACCAGGCCTGTCAAAGATATTTCTGAGATATCATTAAAGCATATATATTAGTCTATGGCCTACTTAATAGGATGGCCCAAAGAAGCTTACACGCTTTGGGCGCATGAGGCTTATAGGGCCCCAGGTCTGGGACGGAATCTCAGCTAGGCGAAGCATAGTTACCAATACTGATTTTTAAATAAATATCAATATCAAAAATAATATATTTATTTTAATATATATTGATTAGAATATTAGATTAACATAGAGTAGACAATTTATTTTTTTTTTTTTTTTTATCTTAACAATACTAAATATATTGTAATTATTTTTTTTCGAGTTTGTTTAAGAGTTAAATCATTTTTCATGGTTAACTGAGATTAACATAATTTGTATTGAAGATTTTTAAAATTTTAGATATTAATATTTTTTTTTTTCAGAATTGCATGGTTTATTAGATCCAGATTTTGTAGTAGTAGCTTTGGCTGATGAACAAACTGATACTATATCTCATAATATTGTTAACTGGGCAAAATCTGTTCGAGCTCCTCTAATGGCTATTGACCCTCCTTGTGATGGAACACCATCTATCAGTGTTAAATACTCATTAGTTCCCTCATTACCATTATCTTATAGTGAATCAAATGGTAAAATATACCTTTGTAATATGGCTATACCTACTCAAGTATTTCATTTAGCTGGAATCCAATACAAATCTCCTTTTGGTTCAAAATCTGTAATACCTTTGCATATTAATTAGTGTAGTGATTTATAAGTATAAATATAATTTTTTCCTGACGACTCCTATCAGATGATTTTAAGTTAAAGTCATATTTTTTGTATCCATTTTATAGATAGTGAATTTATATTATAAATCAATATTTGAATGTATATAAACCATGTTATATTTTATTTTTTTACTTGGCTTGAAATGCATGTTATTGATATTGTCAATATTTAGAATAATTTTTATATTCATTTATTTGTATTATTTGAATATTAATAGTAATATGTATTTTTTTTTATCAAATTTTAGAATGTAAGTTTAGATTGAATTATTTAGAAATTTGTAATTTATTAATCGTAATAAAAAAAATAAATATATTTTTTTTAATATTTGCATTTGTATATTGTAAATATGCATTTAAAAAATGTATATCCATTTTAATATTACTATTGAATTTTTTTTTCTTAATATTTGGTTAGTTTAATTATTATTTAAATTTTTTTTGTAATAATATGTTTCAATTTATTTGATTTATTAGATACTTAAATAATTTAATTATAACTTTAGTTTCTATTCCAAAATTGTAATATTTTTCATGTTAATAATAATCAAATTCATAAATTTTTTTTTTATATAAATTTAAAATATATAAAACAATATTTAACTTGTAAATGTAATAAATTTTGTTGTAATTTGTTTCATATGTACATCAAAACGTTTTATAACTGATTTTAGTCATTGGCAAATATAATCAATACTAATCTAAAAATTTGCCGGAACTGCATTACGCTATATTCTAACTTACTTAACTATTTAAAATTAGCTAATGTTTAATCTTTTATGGATGTAATGTCAATGTTATTATTTAGTGTTTTCATAAAATTGCATCTCTTTTAGGAATTCCACAACAGATTGATAAAATAAAAAAAAGGAAAAACATTAGTTTCCTTATCTTGTATTATTAGCAATTATTTATGACTATTTTGTGTATAAATATCATAGACACAATAATCTAGCTTTTATAGTATGAATATGTATACAAAATCGATTTTTTATACAAAGAAGTTCATAATGTATTTTTGCTTATCGCTTTATCAAAAATGACAATATTATTTAAAATTATGCAGGCATGAGTATATTAACATAAGACTTTCACAGTTCCCCTTTGGTTTATAGTTTTATTACAATAAGTTATGTAAAAGTGTACTAAATATCATAAAATATTAAATTATAAATATTGCTGAACATCTACTATTAGATTAATAAAATATATATACAACAAAAAACTTGCATAATGTTTAGATAACCATTTATAGTCATCCATCTAAGAGACAGTATAATTTTTATATAAATTAAAATCCAAATAATCGTCTAAAGTATTCCAACATTGTTATGAATTATTCAAAATGGTCTATACTGTAAAAATTTGCCAGATTTTATTTCTCCTAATAAATAACAAAGATTAATCAACGCGCAAATATTCTGCTAGAAAAATAAAAAGTACCATTAATGAAATAAAGTTTTCAAAAATTAAGAGATTTTTATATTTACTGTATTAACCGTTATGAAATATATTCGTAAATATGTCAGTTAATATTTGTAATTCATTCTATTTAGTTTTTAACCTTAATTTTAATATAATTTAAAGTAAAAAAAAAAAACAAGAAAAATTGCGTTCTCGTAAAACTTTTTAATGAAGATGACAAAAGTTAGGGCGCATGAATGGAAATTTTGTATACAATTCAGGAATGCTTCATCGTTTCATTCATTTTTAAAATAAAATACGGTACTATGTTTCCCTTAGCTTCGGATCACGTTAACCTTTTTATGAAAGTATGAAGATCTGAATCATAAATGTGCACAGTGGTCCAGTGGTAATAATTGTTAATACCTTAAGTAACAGGTAATTCCGTACTGTATCTCTCTGTCAAATCCAATATTAATTTATAGATTGTTTTTGATAGATTAATACAAAATGGTAAATAAAAATAAATTAACAAATTTACTTCATAATTATATTTGACTTTTTTTGGTTTACATTATAATTAATTTTGATAGTAATACTTTTATAACATTTTCATTCATATTTTGTTGTTAAAGCTGAAATTGCTTATTGTCTTATTGAAAGTTTAAAATAGTTTTTATTTCATAACTAGGGCGTAGAATTACTTATATCTATAAATTTTGTTGAAGTCACTTTGAAGGTTCCCAAGCTTTTTTACAATATTGTTGTAGGATTATATGCATAGTAGTATAGAAATATACTTTTTCGTTTTAAATAACCTTAACAACAACATATTACTAAGTCTTAAATTCAATTAACAATAATTTGTACTGGCTGATAAATAAATGAATTTATTATATTTAAAAAAAATTGATTGTTATTTTTAAAAATTACTTTTATATTTTACATTAGTAATAAGGTTAATAGCTAATTTATTTAGTAAATTTCAAATGTTGAATATAAATTAATCACAGTTAATTGTAGTAGTATTGGTTGTAATCATAGGATCAACAGCTGGTTACTGAACTGGATCTAAAAATAAAATAAATTAAAAGATAAATACAATAAATCTTACAAATTTATAATTAAATTAATTAACAACAAAAGATAATGTAAAAAATTGTTATAATTTGGTAAATAATCAGTTTTATCTAAAAATTAATTTTAAAAATGGATTATATTTTTTTTGCTCATTCTACTTTTGTAAAAAGTTTTAATCTGAGAAAAAAGACTTAATCTGCTTTTGCTAACATAATATATTTATTATTGTATAACTAATAAATAATTATCAATTTATAATTTCATTGAATTAAAAAAGCAAAAAAAAACAGCAGTTTGATTAGTTTAATGCAAATAAATTTAATTCAAATTATAATAAATAAATATTTGTGATAAACATACTCTTGGTAATAAAAATAAGAGTCTGATTGAGAATTTACTCGATGAATAATTATAAAAGATATCAAAAATATGGAAATCCCCAAAACTAATATTACAATCTGCATTTGGAATGATTGTTTTAAAAACATGCGGATTTGTACTTCATGCCATACTGACTCTGTCCATGTTGAAAATTCATGTGATGATAAATCATAATCTACAATATAAAAATTAACAAGTAAAATATATGCAAATTATAGAAAAATATATATATCATTATTACCTGAAATAATGAATGCTGGACTTACAGCTTCACTATAATTAGAAGTAGTTAAATAACAAGCGTTATATTTTCCTCTTAACCAAATTGATGAAAATCCCTATAAAAATTAAGTTTTAATTATGTTAAATAAAAAATTATATTAATAATTTTATAATTAATCATTAATTATAATTTTATATTTAATAAATCAATAAAAAATATGTATTTATCAATTTAAATTATTACTATTATTCCAAGTGTTTAAAAATAATAAGAAAGCAGCACAGTGAGTTCATGGCATATCTGTACTAATTGGAACTAGTATAGATGCTATTTGATACTGATTAAAATCACTTTGATGCAAATCTGTAGAAAGTTTTTAATTTCTAAAGGGAATTGTTTAATTTATTCAAAAGCAATTCAACTCTTATTATTTCCTTCTTTTATTATATCACAATTACAATTTTTATTATTTATAAGTTAATGCACAAATGAACATGTATTGTAGCAATTAAATTTAATATGAAATTGATATTAAATAATCTACTGTTGTAATTGTTATGGAGATATTATATAGTTTTATATCAAGTTCTTTTATTATTGTGGTTGTACCTCTATACCTCTATGGCAAATGTGTATCGAAATTGTAAGTATGAAAATATAACAACATAAAAAACAGTGATTTTTTAGATTAAATAACTTTTTTTGTTCATCTTTGGCAGTCATTTGCATATAGAAAAAAAGGTGTTGGAACAATTTTTTTATATAGTACATAACATAAACTTTAATTTAACATATGTTTGAAGTTCAGTGTGTTTCCATAACATAATCAAAAGTTAAGTTTAAATGGTTAAATTTTTATTTAAAAGTTGATATTTTGAATCCCTCATTTTTATATTATAAGTAAAAAAACGTTAAAAAATGTAGAAATTTATAGATTTTAGAAATTTTTTAAATAATTTTTTAGATGATTTCCTGCATTATGGGGAACAAGGAACACATTTTTTTATAATTAAAATAAAATATATGTAAATTGTTAAACCTTGAAAAATAAATTTGAATGTAAGTCTGATTTTTATTATTTTATTTAAATTTATAAGGTAAAAAAATTATTTTTCAAACCTGTTTAGATGTATAAGTATTGCAGTCTTCTTCATTAAAAACATTATCGATTTTTAAACTCCCAAAAGAAGAAAGTAATAATCTAGTTAAACTAGTTATAGGATTAGTAAATAAGTCTACGCTAATATAATAATTTGGAGGAGTATCAGCCAAAGATATTGGAGAAGTTAATGATTGAAATTCTGTACAATTAATAGATTTTGTGTAGCAATATAGTAATTCTTTTATCTGAAAAAATAATAAAACTTCAAATAAATAATAAATAGAATTAAATAATATCAAGGAATACTAACATATTCTGAATGTACATGTGCATTACCATTATAAGTAGTATTTGTTACAAACTTATAGAGGTAAGTACCAAGTGATTCTGATATATTAGCTAAAGTATTTGAAATTTCTGCGTTAGAATAATTTATATTATCAGAATCATCCATAATACTATGATAAAATCTAAATAATAAAGTTAAATTTTTATATCTAAATTAATAATAATAAAAATAAGTAAAATATAATAATTATCATAAAAAAAGCTTACAAATTTTTATATTGATCTCTATAACCAGCTAATACCAAACCAGGAAATTGAGGATTAACTTTTAAAAATGAATGAATAGATGCAGGTGGTATAGCAGAATTACCTGATTTTAGAACCTTAAACCCTTTGCTACTCAGAACATTTTCAAAATCATCCATAAAGTTATAAATACTGTCACTAGCCTATAATGATTAAACTATTTAAATTGAATAAGCAATTAGTTAATTAAACATTTTTATAAATATTATAAAGAATTAAGTCTTAATTTTTTAAAATAAGGATTTTACATTGTATTTTGTTAAACGATGAAATACTATTTCTTTATCATAGTGTAATTGAGATAGTTCAATATAAAGATCAATATGATGCATCTGAAGTTTAATCAAATCATTTGGGAATTCATTTTTGGACATATCATATAAAACTCTACTTGACCCAATGTAATCATAAGCCTCTCCATTGAATAGTATAAACATAACATTTTTAGCTAAAAATAATAATATTGAAAATAAAACTTTAGTATAATGGAAGAAAAATATATAATAATGTTTATTATGTATTTACAATAATTTTTGGAAATATTATAAGGAAGAATTTCAGAAATAAATTTTGCTGTAGCTAATAGTGTTACTATTGATGTAGCCGTAGATAATGCTCCAGGGGCTAAACCTTGAAACATTGAAGTGGCATCTAAACGAACTGCAATAACAGCCAAAGAATTATTTAAAACATTAGGTTCAAATTCTTTTAAAGTCCAATGTATATTCTTATCACCCAATGGATCACAAAATTTTACTAAAACAAGTAATTACAGTAAAAAAAAAATGACCAAAATTATTTTTAATACAATCTACTTGGTCTTATGTTTTGATATGATAAAAGAGTACGTCTCATACAAGTTTTTGAATCAACAGCAGCATACATATGTGATTTTAATTCTAAAGAACATAAGGATCCCCCACTTTGATCTTTTGAAGGTAGGTTATAGTTTTGAAAACACTAAAACATTTATATAATGGATTATTGTAGAAAGTATTAACTTAAATAATTTGGTTACAACTACTCACATTTTGAATTTCTTTTATAGTTTCTATGTCATTTATAACAAATATGGGAAAATCCCATCCTTCTAACAATATACCAGAGCCAAATGGATTCCAAGGAAGTGTTGAAGGGCAATGAGTACTAGACGATACACGATTAGGACAAATATCTTCTGGACTAAATCCCATCATTTGTAACTTATCATTAGCAATAACTTTGTCATATGTGCCATTTATTAACAAAAGTACACCATTGATCTTTTGATCACTCAATTCAATTTTTTTTAAAGTATCTCTGTACAATATATAAATATTATATATTAAGTATAATATTACACATATAAATTTAAAAAGTATGATTTTTTAAACAAAATTGTAGTGTTTTTTTGAAATCTTAAAATGTCTAAACTGTTTTTTTTCATTAAATATTAAAAAAAATCAATTGAGTCAAGTTTTCTATTTAATACTATCTCTCATCACAAATTCAATATTATGATCAAATTAAAAATTTTATCACTAAAAAATTTAAGTTAAAATGTTTAATTTTTTTAATGATTCATAATTGTAAAATAAAACTGTTTTATTATTAATACAAGAAATATTCATAATGTAAAAGTACGCAATTTTTCTATTTTTAAAAAATGTATAGGTATTTGTTGGTGATATTTTCATCAATTTTTCTAAATAATTATCTTTATGATCAAAGTAAATTTAAAGTTTTTGAACAAATTTTTTTATACCCTGTCTAAAAAAATTTCTGCTATCTCATTTTTACATTTTAAGGTATTATGTACAAGCTTAAGAAAGTGGTACAAAAAAAAAGTTAACTCTTTAAAAAAACCTAAGATTAAATTGAAATCTATATAATAAACTAAATAATAAAATTGAGATCTCAATAAAAGAAATATTGTATTGATCAAAAATACTGTCAGTTATTAAAAAATATTTTTTTTTTTATCACAAAAATGTGATATGTTTATGGCTCAGTAAAATATATGTACTGGTGAAGTTAAAGAAAGACTTAAGAGCTTAGCTCTCAGTTCTTCTAAAAAATATACATAGATACTCTCTTATTCAAAGAATATATAAAATTTTTATTTTTGCTGATTAAAATATAGTAAAATATATTTAATTAAAAAAAAAAAATATTGTTTTATAAAATGTTCAATATTTAAATTTTTTCACCAATGCATTCTCAAATAATATTAGAATATAATTCGAAGCATTCAGTTTTAGTCACTCTTATATTTAGTGGTATATGTCTATGAAACAACTAAACAATGATATTTTACTTTATAAAATCGTATTTAAATAATATATACTACTAAATACTGTTATTTTTTTCAAAATTTGTAAATGCTTTTACTTGTTTATACACCTAATTGTGTGAAATTTTTATAGCAAAAACAAATTTTTCAATTTTTAGTGGTATACTAATAAAATAAGATTATAATAATAATATAATATAATAATAATAAAATTCAATTAATGATACAAAAAAATGAAGATTAGTAGAAAAAAAAAAATCTACAACATTTTTGTACCAGTTATACCAATAAGAATAAGGTTACAATTAAGCAAACCTATTAAAAAATCTCTGGCAATCACCATATTTTTATTCATAATCAAATTTTCTCCTTTCAAAAAGAAAAACTTAGAAAAAAAAATGTGCTGATTTTAATGTAAATAATATTTACCTATTGAACATTTTTGGAGTTAATGCAATAATATAAGGAGAAAATACTCCATAATTAAGCAACCAATTTAAATCAGTTAAATTAGATATTAAATGTAATGTACCAACGTTTCCAAACCTAGAAGCTAATATATTTTAATTTTAGAAAAGTCATTTAAGTTAACATAAAAATGATGACTCACATGTACATCCAACTTTATTTGTACCATTTAATCTGAGAAAACAAGGGTTATCTGCCTTAATATCCATATACATTTTTTCTTTAACTGAAAGAAAACTTGAAAGACCTTAAGAAAATTTAAATTATTAATTATATTATATAGTTAGTTGTATTTTTTACCCCTAAAAATTATATTGAAATATATCGTTGAATTTTTATTTATTATATATATATATATATAAATAATACAATTACACAAACTAGGAAAAATGGGATATTATAAAATACTGAAATTCAATATTATAAATTAAAAAAAATAAATATAAAATCTTACATGGTGAAACATAATGTGAGGAGATTAATAAAATGAAGTACATATAATTATACATAATTAAGAAAAGATAAAACTGACACAAAATGGATTTATGTTAAGACTTTACATTTTAAATATTTGTGTCCAAATATTATGTATCATGCATAAGAAAATATTATTGAAGCTTATAAATAAAAACATATTTAAAAACGTAAGATAAACATCATGTAATTAAATTGATCTAATAAATTAAAACAATTTTTTTTTTACTGAATATCATGAAGTTAGCTCTCAAGAGTCAGCGCCTAACCAAAAACTGATAAGAAGTTAACCATAACAGTGTTCATTAGGTTGCCTGTTTTTAGGAATTCAAGGAGCAGAGGTATCAATAATTTTAATTTAATCATTACATTTATAAAACGTATATCGTATTATAATAAATTATACTATTACCCTCAGAGGAAGGTATGATATAACATTGTACCTATGGGTCTAGCGCACCTGGGGCCCTGAGCTTCACTGGTAGAAACCTCAAGCAGGGAATTAAGTGGTCCGATCTTTAACCGGCATAAGGAGTACTCTTAACAATTTTTAGAGAAGGACACTTCATTGCTCTTGAGGTGAGAAATCACCACTAAAGGCGGATGAACATAGGCGCTAACGGTATAGGATGCATAAAATAAGGGGATACTATTGCATTTAAAATCATCAAGGATATCCCAGGTATCCAAATTTACAAACAGATAACCGCCTCGAAAAAAAAATATTCCAGAGGTAAAGTTCCCCATTTAGTTTTTCGGGATTACTCAAGAAAATGAATCTATATAGGTAAAAGTAAAAACGAGAAAAGGAAACAACATTAAAATGATTGTAACGTAGAATGTCAGAACGCTACTATAGGCAGAAAAATTAGAAAACTTAAAATAGAACTAAAAAGATTGCGTACAGATATTCTTGGCATTTCAGAAATAAGATGACCTAACTCAGGTGATTTCTGGTTGAGGTAGCACTAAGTAATATATTCAGGATGAAGCAAGAAAGGAGGGGACTTTGTTTAGTACTATATAAAATATTTCAAAATGTTAAAGGATATGTACAATACAGTGATAGAATCATGCTAGCTAGGATAGATACTAAACCAATGACAATGTGATTATACAAGTGTATATGCCCACTACACAAGCGGAAAAAGTAGACGTAGAAAAAATTTATGAAGAGTTAAGCAATTTGATTAACACAGTAAAGAGAGTAAAAAATTTTATCATCCTCTAAGATGATGATAAAATCTCTTCGTCAGTGTCAGCGAGAGAATCATATATAGTTGTTAAATATGGATAAGGAATAAGAAATACATGAAGCGACACTTTTATGGAGATTTACACAATGTAGTAACTCAAAAATAAAGAATGGAATATATAAGTATAATTTTGGTCGGGTGTTGTTTGAGCTACTACTTTTATTGTATTAATAATATTATTATTTGGGGTATGAGTACGAGGGTCTGTAAGAATGATAAAAGATGATAGAAAAATAAATTTGTAACGTGACAAAAGTACCTATTTATTTTCTGTCTATATATATATGTGTGTCCTAAATTACTTTGGTTGAACCGAATGCCTGTTGCAATGGTTTTTATCATTCAAATAATCACGATAAAGTGTTGTTATGTTTTTGCACGCGCGAGATAGTCAGCTGTGTACTACTTCGGACCGGTTCATGGACGGCATTTGCACTACTCACTATCTACATTGTCGCCTTATGATATATTGTGATTCGAATTTTTCTTAATAATTTCCGGCACTGGATATTAAAATTTGTTGACTCCTATTCTAAAGGCAGCCGTATTGTCGTCATCGGACCGCCGGGTCAAACGACGGAAGTTTTGTCGTTATTAGCGTCGCATTTCTTGGACAACGAAACGGACTTGACAACGGCCACCTCCCCAAATGCGTCAGCAAAACCCTCCATATTGGAGAGATTGCGGGGCGCATCTAGGGGTTGTTCGGCAAGGATGGGACCTTCGGGTCCAACTATGGTAGCGATTAGTGAGGTAGTGGCAGCGGAGCTGGGGGAGGACGACTCCTTGCGTCCCAAACGTAAGGAGGTTTCCCCAACGATTAGCCCCCCTACCATCACATTAGAGGACACCCCACCCAGCGCGGCCGTGCCCATGCCGGCCACTCCTCAGCCGGTCTTGGCCAAGAAGCCCAAAATGGTGCCCCTGTCAGCAGTTGATTTGTTCAACGCCGACGGGACACCAAAAAGTGTGATTGGTCGGGCCGACGAAGTGTTGTCGGCGGGGCAGCTCTCCGAAATGCTGTAAGTGTATCTCCCACACAGGCGGGTGGTGAAAATGGCCACGGCTCTTATTGAAACCGTAAGGGCATTGGCTGATCTTCACCTCACTAGCTCGCCAGTGGGAGAGACCCCAGCATTAGCGACGGAAAACTGGGCGTGCCTCCAGAACACTGTGTCCCAGGCGGACTATTTGTGGGACACGTACGGCCCATTATCTAACACATTATCTAAAATAACACGAACTCAAATGTTCAGTTCATAAATTAACACGTGAAAATTTCGACAATGATGATTACGAACTTTACGTATCGATGTCGAGAGCGCGATTAGAACAGTCTCTTGAATATCTGGAGACTTCTAATTTAAAAAGGGTACCAGTAGATGTTTAAAGTATGATTGCCATATCTCCCAAACCCACATGATGTGGGATTACCCTGCCATAGGTTTTTAACGTAGAAGGCAATAAGGATATTTTGTAAACGATATTTCACGGGCTTTAATAAATACCTAAAAATTATAAACTATATGGAGTTGAGGAGTTAGAAGAGCACAAAAAATTGTCGGCAAAAACAAACAGTTTTTACCGTAATGCCTGACTAGGGTACTAAATTAAAGTTAGAGTTAAGAGGAAAAACACAGGATCATCCATTTTCAATTTTTGTTGATTTTGAAAACTTGATAGTAAAGTTCAACAAAGATATGAATGACTACACAAATTATACACATGATCATATTGCAATGAGCTGTGCATACATAGTAAAAGCAGCCAACAGTATACCCACAGAATTATTGCAACAGTTTAATATTCAAACGACGCCTAAAAATATAAACAGATAATAAAAGCAGTGAACCAGGGGATGTAGTCAATCGTTTCATGGATGACGTAACTGAAGTGACGTTGAAAATTGAAGAGTTGCTAAAGATGAACGTTGATATTTGTATGACACATCAAGAAACTGAAGATCATATAAAAAAAACCCAGCACAGTGGGGTGGCGGAACAGTGGGGTCGTGGCATAGTTGGGTCCAGCATAGATGATATCTGATAGTGATTAAAATCACTATCATAAAAAACGCTTTAAAGCAAATCTGTAGATAGTTTTAATTTAAAAAATTAATGGATTATTCCAAAAGCTACAGGATCTCCTATTTCATTATTTATATTCTAATTACAAGTTTTATGATTTAGAATTGTAATATATGAATAAATAAATATATATATATATAAATATACATAGTACTTAACTCAAAAAAAATTTAATGGTCCATACATTTCTTAAAAAGTTATACCATTGTAAAGTTAAGAATATAAAAATAATTTTTTTTACAATAATTGTATTTTTTTTATTAGCTTTGATGACTATTTTCACCATGAAAACAAAATAAAGTCCGAAATTTTTTTTTTCCATAATAAAGTATATTACATTAGCTTTAATTTAAAAAATATATATAAGTATCAGTATTTCCGGAACACTTTAAAAAGTTGTCATTTTGAATCCATTCCTGTCGTCAGATTTATAAAAATAAATAGATTATTATAAATATACGCAATCATACTCAGTAATTAATTAATTAATTAATTAATTAATTAAGGGACACCTAAGTTTACCTACTAATGTATCGTTTTTTCTAGGTATAAAATATATGTCTGAAATATATAAAATAACAATAATATTTCACTAATGTGTTTTAACTAATATGGTTATTTCTTTTAGTTGTAGGTTATTACACATGTTTAAGGAAGGAACATCTAGCCGTTGATTACCCCAACTGAAAAATTAATTATGACACAATTATTAACATTTTAAATTATCATATTATTATTTAATAAATTGTTTTATATATATATATATATAATTTTATATTCATATTTGTAATACTTTAAATTGCTCTATTAAAAAATAAAACTTATATAATTGAGAAACGCACAAAATTTTTAATAAGAAAAACTTATTTTCTATCATGTTTTTTGCATTATTGACTATTAATGCCCAAATGTATATGTACTTTTCTTTAAATTAGATCTCTTGAGAATAGTTTGTTTAATAATTTACAATATATCCACATATATAAATAATAATGAATGTTAATAATACATGTACATAAATAATATTTAGTTATATTATTTTACAATTCTAAAAAATAAGTCATTTGTTATTAAAATGTAATTTGACAATTATACTGAATACATTTAGATTTATAAACGTTGAGTTATATCATAATAAATAATAATACGATTTTTATCAATTACATTAAATTAATAATAATCCTTCAAAACAAACTAATGGTACAATGTAATGTATATGATAAACCACTGTGGTGGTAACCTCATTTCAGTTATGACAGATAGAAATAAATAGATAAAATCACGGTGGTTAATAAAACCCTATCAAAGGTTACCATTAAAATAACTTCTGGAGCTAACTTCATGTACATGATCCTGTATACATAATTTGTTCGTAAATGAGAATTGTTATAAATTTTCGAACTTCATATTACTACAAAGAAAATTATTTAATATTTCACGAGTCAAAACTATGTACGTATGTTAAAATGTTATGCATAATATTTTAGTGTAATATTAAGTTCCTTTGCTATATTTCACTTTCATTTGATTTCTTTATTTGATAAAGTGAGTTTTAACTAAACTTTTACTTTCTATCCTTAATATATTTAGAAGCTTTTAGTATAATTTGGTAATCAATCAGAGGTTATAAAATTGTCTTCTACAACAAAACTTCCTACTACAATGAATATTAGTCAGGGGCATTCTCATGGTTTTGTCTTAGGTTTTAATTTACATAAGAAATTTGTTTACTACCATCAAAAATATATCTTTACCATATAATTATTTTCGTCATAAGAAGTATATGGTTTAATAAATAATTGTACCGAGTATGAATTTTTGGTTTATAAATATTTTCATGTGATAAATCTGTAATAGTAATTTTGTTTATGTTTATTAATTTATTTATAATATGAGACTAACTCTTTGAAATGCAAATTTTATGTATACAGATTTTGCAATTAAGAAATAGTTACAATATTACAAAAACATTATAGTTATAAATATATACATAGGTAATAGACATTAATCTTGTGATAGGTTCATTTTGTATGTAATTTGAGGTGTAGGGGGGAATGTAAAAAGGAGTATAATTTCTAACATTATGTTGTGGGACTCTCAAATTAATTTAATTTAAAATTTAAAGATAAGAGCAATCTATTAAATAATATAGTCCATTTAAAAATTTAAACTCAAGAATTTTTCTTCTACTAGAAAGGGTACCCATAATACGATATTCAGAAACTGGGGTGCAGATGGTGTATATGTAGAATAAATCCAGCTAATAGATATTAACTAAGTCACTAGCATATAAGAGTAAAAAATGATTAATGCTAGTGAATTTTTGAGTATTAGTGACTACCAAAGCTCCTGCCATTCTGTAATGTGATCATTAGGGTGGCCCTCAAAAATCAAATGTCTTTTTTTTCTTTACGCTACCCCTTAATTTTTTTTTAATGGTCAAAAAAATGAGCTGTGCAAAATTTGGGACCGATCCGTTAAGGTTAACCCGTGCCCCCGGGCCTATTAAGTTGAGTCGAAAAGTCAAATTTAATAGAAATAACTGATCTATGTCTCATAACTTTTTTTTCTCTTAACTTAGAATAATAAAAGTAAAACTCAAGTAAAGGAAATTTTACAAGAAATTCAAAAATAATAACTTCAATGTTGTTTTCTCAATAAATAGCCCACAAAAACACTATATACAGTAAAAAACATGTAAAAGTCTTAAAATACGTTATAACTGATTTTGTTGATTTTTAATTATTTATTTTCATTTTATTTTTTGGAAAACGCATTTTCGTTTAAAAAAAGAATCTAGAAGTTTAATTTTTTATGCCAAGTACGATAATTATATTAGATTTATTATTTTATGAACAGTTAATTAATGAATAATTACAAACTTAACAGTTTAATTTAATTGTTATTAACAATTTTTAATTAATTTTTTTTTTAAATAATAACTTTAAAAAAAATATTTTAACAATAATTAAATTATATTATTATAATATATGTATATATATTATAATATATATAATTTGATAATGTACTTTTTTTACAATTAGGGAATTTTTCCGATAATTACTTACTATTTGTAAAACGTATTGTTTCTGTTCTTCATTTGTAGTTAATATATTAATGTAGTCTTAGATTAATTTGATGCCACGCTGGGCTGTATCATTAATGACTCGTAATTTACTTATAGTATTTAAAGCATTTATGTAACTGTTGTTCGCACTCCAAAATGATGGATCAATTTTCAAAAAATCAGTGTTCAGATTAAATAGTTGTAAATTTGATGGTAACTTACTACCAGTTATTTCGTGGGAATAATTACCAATAAGATAAATATTAGTTCGTAATACTTTAAAAGACGCTAAAAGTATTGTACATTTGTGATTAAAACGTATCATTTAATATATAATAATAAACAGGTAAAATATATTTAACGTGTTCACAAATTGTCTGCTGCATTTATACGACACAAATTATGTCAGTTGTCGAAAATAACTCAAATATTCTTATCTTTAATAATAATATAATTGGTACTATCTTAAAGTAATTCAGTAAACCAAAATTGATATATTGATACGACAAAATGTAATAATACAATCAATTTTGTTAAATTTGTAATTAATCATTAATTAACTGTCCATAAAATAATAAATCTAATATAATTATCGTACTTGGCATAAAAAATTAAACTTCTAGATTCTTTTTTTAAACGAAAATGCGTTTTCCAAAAAATAAAATGAAAATAAATAATTAAAAATCAACAAAATCAGTTATAACGTATTTTAAGACTTTTACATGTTTTTTACTGTATGTAGTGTTTTTGTGGGCTATTTATTGAGAAAACAACATTGAAGTTATTATTTTTGAATTTCTTGTAAAATTTCCTTTACTTGAGTTTTACTTTTATTATTCTAAGTTAAGAGAAAAAAAAGTTATGAGACATAGATCAGTTATTTCTATTAAATTTGACTTTTCGACTCAACTTAATAGGCCCGGGGGCACGGGTTAACCTTAACGGATCGGTCCCAAATTTTGCACAGCTCATTTTTTTGACCATTAAAAAAAAATTAAGGGGTAGCATAAAGAAAAAAAAGACATTCGATTTTTGAGGGCCACCCTAGTGATCATTGTACATTTTTTTACTGTTGGCTTCATGGTATTTTGTATTAAAATACTCTTTTTGTAGTTGAAATTGTTTAAGAACTTTTAATTGAATTTTGTTGTTTTTGGTCGACTATACAAACAAATTTATTTGTTGTATTATTAAAAAGTAATTTTAATACCTTTAAAGATTAATCTTTTGTTGTGCTCTGTCACAGTCTGGGATAAAAAGTCGTCTCAAAGAGTTAAAAAATTTTGATAATGTAAATTTTAAGTTCTATTTGTACTTGCCCATGAAAGCTAATTTATTTGGCATAAGTAGGTTTTTTGATTAGCTAGTCAAACTTTACATTACCACCACTTCGTTCTTGCTGGTGTTGGTAGTTATATTTTTTAATTATACAAGGAATACCTTGGGTTTATGCTTGAACTATTCTCTGTAAAATATCTATCTTGAGAAATGTATTGTTTAATATAGCCAGTTTAAAAAGGTTACATAATGGGAAATTAATATTAATTTATTAAATGTAATTAATTGAGTATATAACAGAGGTTCTGATCTCCCTATATCTCCTTGAGAATGTCCATATTATTTGAAGTAACAAATAATTTGTTAGGTGGTCCTTTAAATTTTTATTTGTTTTCTATAAAAATTCAATTTTTAAAGTTTTCAACTTAGTACTAATATTGGTTTAATTCCATGCTTTTTATCAAATTTTATTTAAAAAAAAAATGCTATTTTATGCTTAAATTTTTATTTAATTACCAAAAAAAAAATTTTTTCACTTACCATTATTTTTTATAAATGGAATGATAGAAAAATTTTAAATAATATGTAAGGAAGAATGTTAATAAAAATTTTATTTTTAAAACTTATTTTTTTTTAATTTTACAGCTCAAATGGCTCCTAAAAAGAAAGTTATTAATGCTTATTCAATTTTTATGACTGAAACTCAAAAAAAATTAGCTGCTCAAGGAATTCCTATGTCCATGGCAGGACTAGCAACATATTGCAAAAGTGATTGGGAAAAAATGCCAGAACAAATAAAAGCAAAATATAAAGCTAGAGCTAAAGAAATAAAACATTCTTATAAAGCAGAAAAAATGACTTCTACTGGTGAAAAAGTTAATGATGTTATTAGTCGTGATCGAGAAAATAATGCTCAATTTAATGCTATGTACTCATATATAGAGGAATTAGTTAAACTACATCTTGATTATTTATCTAAACAAACATTTATTTTTATACATGTTAATTCCTACTCTTGTGAAAAGGAAAATTTTTATTTTCCTGCAGAAATAGCTATGGTTGAATTTTCACTAGAGCGAGGATTAATTCGTAGATTTCATCAATTAATTGGATTTGATAAAATAAGGACCAAAGCTCCTCCAGCACCTTCGGCAGACATAAATATGCATGCCAAAGCTAACCATAAAATTGATACATTTACTAGATTACCAAATAATTATACTGACGTCTTATTAAAAATAATTGGTAAGTAATTCTTTATTTAATTTAGTGTTTTATAAGTTAGGAAACAGATGTAAAATATTTTACTTGCTTATTAAACTTAATGAATATATATATGTTTTTTAAGCATTTTTTTTCTATAATCAGCAAGTTGTTGTCTACTTTAAAACTGTCATTAGGTATTTTTTCAGAGGGTTATATTGCCATTCCATCACCCAAACAAAATTTTAAAAGTTAAATATTTATATGTTTACAAATAAAATATTAGCTTCGATGCGAAGCGGAGAAGGTATTAATTTTACTATGATGTGTTTTTTTTTTTTTTTTTTTTTGTCTGTTGCCACTTTTTCTCATCTCTCACTGGACCGATTTCTTTCAAAAATACGTCAAAAGATCACAAATCGTATCTAGTTGAAGACATTACCCTTAAAAATTGAAAAAAATTCCCTCGTTCCCCGCAAATGGGGGAAATATCCAAAAAAATTACAAATTTAAAAATCGCTAATTTTCGAAATTTTTTCACTTTTTTTTCTTAAAACTTCCATAACTTTTTGAAAAATCAACAAATCAACATAATTTTTTTTTATACTAAAACCTTAGATATTTACCTTTCATTTGATATCATTTTTTTGAAAATCTATCACTTAACCTGCTCATTGGGGGGGATTTAAAATGGCAACTTTTTTACAAAAATTAATTTTTTCAACTTAATTTTTGAAAATGTTCCGGAAAGACTGCGTCCTTTAAACATATATCAAATTAAAGCTTATTTTATGTACTACAAAATGAAAAAAAAAAATTTGTCCCGACACTTTTTTTTCTACATTTAAACGGCTGCCGTAGTTAAAAAAACACTATTTTTGTGTTAAAATTTTCGATTTTCGATTTTAAATTTTCAACTTAAAAATGCTATAACTTTTTGAAAAATGTATATATCAGCACAAATTTTTTTTTTCTAAATACATTATAAGTACATCTTTCATTTGACATACTTTTTATTAAAATTGGACAATTTCCCCTTATATAGGGGGCGTTCAAAACTTAAAATATTGTAAAAAACATAGATCTTTTTCAACTGAACTTTTGAAAATGTTCCGGAAATACTGCGTCCTTTAAACATATATCAAATCAAAGGTTATGTTATATACTATCAAATGAAAAAAAAAAATTTGTCCCGACATCTTATCTTCTATGTGCAAATGGCTGTCGAAAATTTAAAAAAAAATGTAATGTTTGCGATAAAAATTACATTTTATCGGGATGTTTTTTGTACTTAAAACTGCCATAACTTTTTCAAAAATGAACAAATAAAAATAATATTTTTTTGTATTGAAACCTTAGATATTTCCCTTTCATTTGATATAATTTTTTTTGAAAATCTAACACTTATTCTGCTCACTGGGAGGATTTAAAATAGTAACTTTTTTACAAAAAATAACTTTTTCAACTTAATTTTTGAAAATGTTCCGGAAATACTGCGTCCTTTAAACATATATAAAATTAAAGCTTATTTTATGTACTACAAAATGAAAAAAAAAAATTTGTCCCGACGATCTATCTTCTATACGCAAATGGCTACCATATTGAAAAATATACTATTTTTGTATGATAATTATGGGTTTTGTATTTTATTTTAATAGAAGTTGATGTTGCTTTTGCAATTATCCATCAATTTTTTAAAATTAAACACTATCTACAGATTTGCATCGAAGCGTTTCTTATGATAGTGATTTTAATCACTGTCAGATTAAATCTATACTGGACCCTACTATGCAATGTCTCCACTATGCCGCGACCTCACTGTGCTACCGTTTTTTTTTTTGTTATTTTGTTATTATTTAGACACACTTGAAAAAAAATTTAACAATACTAGAAAAATGTTTGGAAGAAATTTCATTACAAATAACACTTGTTGGCGCTTTTTGAATTATAACTATGAATTTAATAGATAGGAATTTTTAATAATAAATAATTTTAGTTAGCAATTCTACTTTTTAAATTTGTAATTAACTAACTTTTAATATTTTATTAAATTTTAAATATTTGATTTTTGTTCATAGGTTTCATAATAAATAAGGAAGTTGATGAATCAGTCTTAAATGATCCAACATTAGATATGCCACCTATATTTACCGCACATAATAGGAATGAAGTATCTTCATTGTCAACAACTAATCTTAGTTTATTTCAATTGTACAACAGTGCTGTAGAATATGCTGGTAGAGATGATTTTGATAAACTTTTAAAAGTTTATCATTTAGATAAATTACTAAAAGAATTAAAAAACACATGTTATGGTAGTAAAAATCCTAACTCAAATATAGAAGCTATTCCTTCAGTTGCAATGGCAAGTGAATTTTTAAATAAAGATATGTCAAATACAATAAAGTCAATTGGATGTAATTTTCATGAAAAACATGAATCTGCTCATGTATGTAGTAATTATTATGTTTGCAAGTGGATATACATTTTTTCTACGCATTGCTGCAGTTATTTTGGTATTAAATTGATTTCGGGATGTCATTTTGATTTTGATTTATTGAAAAGTGATAGTTCTCTTGAAGAGGAAATTGATAAGCTAAATATTACCCATGATGACTATTTTAGTAGTTATAAGCCTGAAAAATATCCCCAAGAATTTACTGCTAGTATGTTTCCAACTTTAGGTGGTGTATCACCAAAAGTTTTTATTGAATCCAAATGGAATAAACCAGAATCAAAGTCAGATGCAACTTGTGTAAATATAACAAATGAGATTAGTTCATTTCCTCCATTGGGAGGAAATGTTCAACATCCTAGCTCTGCTCCTAATAGTTGGCGTACAAATGCTTATAGAGGAAGAGGAATAAATCCAGTTCAAAGTAATATTAATGCAGGTCAAAACAAAAATAATATTTTTAAATCTAAAGGACGAGGTGTACAACCAAATCATTAAATTGTATCTAATTTTAAATGACATTTAATTACTATTACATTCTAAGTTATATGAAAATGGAATCATATATTTTTTTTATATTATTGTTCACTGAGGTATGTGAACAAATCTTATTTTTGATGACAAAAATTATTAAGTTAAAATGCAATATTGAGTAACAATAAAAATTTTTGTTTTTTTTTGCTTTGACTTTTTTATAAGTTATTCATTTATGTTTAAACTAAAATTGATTAAAATTGGTGTTACAATACTACATTTTTTTATTTGATTTATTTTGATATTTTCCTTTTTTTGGAACTTAATGACACAAAGATATTTCTATACATAATATTAAACTATATTTACCATATTAAATTATGAATAATTTCCATCATTTTAAAAATAATATAAAATTAAATTTTTGTTTAGTTAAATAATGTTTAAACAGTTTAAATTACTCAAGGTCATCTTCTTTTCCCTCGCCTTTATCAAGTTTGGGGTCGATCACTTTTATTTACAGATGATATGTGACAGTGATTAAAATCACTATCATAAGAAATGCTTCGATGCAAATCTGTATATAGTGTTTAATGTTAAGAAATTAGTGGATAATTACAAAAGTAACATCAACTTCTATTTCCTTAACTATATTCTGATTAGTTTTTCTTTGATTTATAAGTTTAAAATATTAATAAATACTTAGTAATTCATAGTTTCAATTATAGTAATTATTCTCAGTATGAAATTTGTATTCAATAATTTAATATTGTAATTTTAAAAATTGAGAAATTATAAAGTAGTTGTATATTTCGATACTTATATATAATAATTATATACTCTATAACCCACGTTTATAAAAATTGAAGTGCTTGTTGCAAAACTTTTCAGATTGAATAAACTGGTCAATAAGGATTTTTATCAATTACAAAAATATACTTTTTCTAAACTATTTTTTGCGTTGATTTCAAATTTAAAAATAAAATTTTTTCTATCACCTTTCACAAAATTAAGAAAATAGATCAATTGTTAAAAATAATGATAACAATAGAAACCCGTTTCCTTTCTGATCACCTTTATATACGTATAAATATATTATTAATCTGCCGTATTTACCTTTATTTTTAATATATATAATAAAAATATTTTAATACAGAAGTGTATAAATTTTTATTTATAACGTTGAAGTCAAACCGTATTTATACAGATATCTGGAAAAGATAAAATATAGCGAATTAAAGCATTTTTGTGTAAATGATAAATGATTATTTGTTATTGCACTACCGATTAAACTATGAAATCAAAAAAGTATTTTATTATATAACTAAAGATATATAGTAAAATTATAAAAAAAATGTTTGCCGAGCTATATCAACTTATTATTAAGCACCAACACATAATATATTATACAGAAATTTTACAGTTACAGTTGTTGTGTCACAACCACTTAATTAAATATTTATCTTTGCGAATATACATGTTTATAATTGATAGGGACATCCGCATGCGGATGTCCCCTTGTTTTCTTTGTATGACTATTTTGCAGCAATAGTCAGTCTAGTGTCTACCATTATAGGACTAACATTATAATTGTAAAGCATATTCTTATTTTGAAGTGTTATTATGAAAGTTTACTTTATATATATATATATATATATACACATTTATATTAATTGTTATATTTCTCTTGTAACGTAATATTTTTCGTATAATACATTTTACTATTTATAACCAGTATTTCTATCGAGAGTGTTAAATTTATTTCTTTATAAATAATCACTATTTCCTATATACATCTTGGAGGACTCTGTGCGGATAGCCCAATAGGGAATCCAGACCGTACAACAAATAAATATTAAAATTCCCTCAGGCGAGCCTTACAGGTCCGCCACACAGTAGTCAAATGTTTAATCAAGTACATAGCTATGTTTTATATAATATTTATTATACTTATTAACCAGCCATATTTTTAAATATTAGAAATTACACAAATCATGGTATTTATTAACATTAATTTATTGTAAGTATTTGACATAGTGTAGTAAATTTGATATATTTTATAAGAAGCTTTTATTTTTGTTATTTTTTAAGTTATAAAATAATTATTTTCTTAGTTTTTAAATATTTTAGATAATCTAATTACATAGATTTGTTTTTTGTTAAAGGAAATCTTCTGCCAATATTTTAATTTATTTGGTAATAGTTATTTTAAAATTACTTAGGTTACATGTAAGTCTGTTACTCATAGATTTAGGTGTGCCCTTGTTGGTTATTATGTATACAAATTTTATTAATTTAGCCGTATAAAAGTTACAAATAAGTCATATGATAATTTTGTTTAATGTAAAAGCCTGTTACGGCCTATGTTTATTGGTTGGCTGCTAAATTAAAAAGCGCTGATCGTGTATAGCAGGGCTTCCCAAACTTTTTTTTGCTGTGCCGCCCTTGGGGATGGGCCATTTTTTTGCGACGCCCCCAGTGATGAAAACTGCCTACCATGCCTAGTTGTAGTTCTAGACAAGTAACAAGTTATCAGAAAAAACTCCGAATACATTTTATATTTTTTTATTAATAACAAAATAAAAACATAGCCGAAACTAATGGGACGGATGTGCTTGCTTTTCTGAGCATAGCTTTTCAAAACGGGGCTCAAGATTGGAAATAGCTACTCGCATTTCTTTCTCGACATTAATTTTCGATCTGTACTTATTTTTAATTACTGCAACTGCAGAAAAGCCTGTTTCGCACAAGTACGATGTCGCAAAGGGTAGCAGAACCTTCAATGCCGCAGTGCTGATGGCACGATATTCATGAGAAACTGAGCTCCAGAATTCGAGCAGTTTGTCTTTGTCGTATTGGAGCTTAAGACTGGAGTCACAGGACAGTTCAATCAGTTGTTCTTCCTCCGCTGTGGAAAGTGTTGATGGTGGTGTCGACTGAAAAGGGTTCCTAACCCAGTCATATTGCTCCAGATTTTCAGGAAAATATTTGGCAAAATGTTCATTTAATGATGACAAGTGCTGTGTAAATATTATTTTTATGGAGGGATCGAGGGTCTCTATCGATTTTTCATGTAGAATGCCTTGTAAAGCAGGGAAACAGTCAGTATTTACTTGACCTTCTTCTAATTTTCTCTTCCATAACAGCAACTTCTTTCGAAATCCAGTAATTTTATCTGCCAGTTGCAGTATGTGAGTATTGTTTCCCTGCAAGGACTTATTAAGCTCATTTAATTTTTGAAAAATGTCGCAGAGATATGCCAATTTTATTAGAAAATCAGTATTAATAAAACTTTGTGCATCATTGTGTGATTCGGTCTGTAGATAAGTGTAAAACTCATTTCGTAGTTCGTGCACACGTGCGAGTACATTGCCTTTGGACAACCAGCGAGAGTTGCAATAATAAATTAAAGAGGTGTGCTGGGCACCCAATTCTTCACAAAGCTTATGAAAAAACCTTGCTTTCACAGGTCGTGTTTTAATGTAGTTCACCACTTTGATAACTATGTCCATCACAGCACTTAATTCAGGTGAAATGTTCTTTGCAGCCAAGGCCTCTCTGTGTATGACGCAATGTGTCCATTTTACATTTGGAGCCTTGGTTTTGATGAGAGCTTGTAGTCCTCCATACTGTCCAGACATCGCTCGAGCACCATCCGTACACACACCCACACAGTTCTCCCATTTAATATTATTTTCGGCCATGTAAGAATCCAAAATCTTAAATAGATCAATAGCCTTACCACTATCATATATTTTTCTGCAAAATAACAAATCCTCACATACATTTATTTCTTGTATGTACCGCACGTAACATATCAATTGAGCATCGTCATTACTATCGGTCGCCTCATCCAGTTGAATGGCAAATGAACATGAAAGTTTTTCCACAATTTGCTCATTAATATCTTCTGCCATGTCATGAATACGGCGGCTAATAGTATTGTTTGAAAGCGGTATATTTTTTATTTCTTTAGCCGCCGATTCTCCAATCATCACTGACACCATATCAACCGCAGCAGGTAAAATCAGTTCCTCAGCAATCGTGTGAGGTTTCTTACACTTGGCGACACGGTGAGCTACCTTGTAGGAGGCGAGCAATGCTTTGGAAGGAACTGACGCTCTTGAAAGCAAAGCCGTGGACTGATGTTTCAGGTCTCGCAATTTTCTAACAAAAAAGTCTTTCGGCTTACCTTGCAAATGACTGTGAGTTGTTTCCAAATGACGTTTTAGTTTATTAGGAAGCATACTTTCAGCTGCCAACACTTTATGACAAACAACACATTGAGGAAGTTCTTCATTTCCTTTAGTAATGTATGTAAACCCAAAATCTAAATATTGGTCGTCATATTTTCTATATTTCTTTCGTTTATCTGTTGTTTCTTTACTGCTTTCTCCTGAGCTTTCATTTCGTTTTCTATCTCTCTGAATATAATTATCCATAATGATAGGTACTCAATATCAAACGTCCGCGTGCGTAATTAAACAAAACAAAACCTCGACTGAACGAACGACATGAACGCACGGGCAATGGGGAACGGGCGGGGGATGTCAACGGCCAGCCCCGCGCGCCGAACGTCGACACCGACAGACTGCGCGCGGCGCTCACTGGAGATGGTCGCGTCGATACAAACTACCAAATGCGGTTCGCCTCGCGACGCCCTTGGGTTAGTGCCGCGACGCCCCAGGGCGTCGCGACGCACAGTTAGGGAAGCCCTGGTGTATAGTATTTTTGATATTAGTTTAATATACCAAGGTGTTCGGAAACACCGATTTCTTAGAGCCACTATTGATATTTTTAATAATTGCTTTTTTTAGAGGCTTATTGAATAATTAAATGCATCTTTTACGATTAAAATTTAAGTTCAACCCTAATGTAAAAGGGTAGGAATCTACCCTAACTTAAGAAAATTAAATAGCAACCATTACTTTTTTTAAATTTTTGTTCAGGTAATTTTATTTAAAACAAAAATACTTTTAAAATTTTAAAATTGGACAAGTCATTTTTGAGATTTTGTTGTTTAAATGCATAAATTTTGAGTTTGGAAGCACATATTGCCCCACAATAAAAACTAATCAATGTTTAATTCCGTAGACACAATAATCATAAATTGACTGATTATTGTTGCTTGGTTTATCTTAATGATCGTATTTGAACATGAAACGATCAATAAATATTATAAATTGATAATGCACCTTTCAATGGAATTATTAAATATCAATAAAAATATGATTTACGATTGCATTTTTTTTACGTTTACAAGTGAAAGTAGATTGT